AATGAAAAATCTGAAAAAGTGAAGGATTATGTTTTCACTAAATCACTAACAGCTGCAAATCCAGCTTGTTTTTTCACTAATTGAATCATTAAGACCTGAAAATCTGCCTCCGAAACTTTAATTCCTCTGGGTTCTCTCTGTTAGGTGGCCTTTCTGATATAAATAAAACAAATACAAAATTAAAGCTGACTCTTGCAAGACTAATCAACATATGTGTGGGTGTATGTTGGTGTGAGTGTGTGTAAGTGTCAAGGTGGGACAGACAGGAAATGGCGACAAGAACAGAACTTCCTGTGTGAGAGGAGAGAGTGCTGCATCTTCCCTGCATGTTTGTATCTGTATATATTTAAGGGGTCTCACAGTCCGAGGGGATGCTTTGACTTCCTGTCACATGCGCGCGCGCACACACAAACACACACACACACACACACACACACACACAGGGAACTCCCTAGATAATACAATAATGTCTCATATTTCATGCTGTTTCCTGTAATTTTTTAACTATGTATCACTTTATGGTCGGTGTCAGTGACTCTTGATAATAATGTGCTGCCCTTTATGTACATAACAGAACATTTTAAAGGACCACTGCACAACACACGCTCACAATGCATTTAAAGCAGACTCACTGTAACATTGATAGAAAACTTCCCAACAATGAACCCCTGAGGTTTAGCACAAGTAAATTCACCTTTTCCCTTTAAGATACACCATATTTTTGATTAGTTGGAGCATCTCATTGATACTCTCTTGAAATAAAGAAACAACGTTTGCTCTGCTATCAGCTCTATTGTGCAGCTTCTTGGCTGCATCAGAGTTAGCTGTAAGCTAATTTACATCTGCGATCCCTGTGCAGGAAGCAGAGATTAACATCTCTGTCAGGAAAATCAAAACTGTAATATAAAAACACAATTATAAGACAGTATATTTTCACCATCACCAACATCAGCAGCAGCAAGCTTTCACAACATCAAGACACATTAAGTTTTTGTGTGCATGATAGGTACATGCTGAGGTGTAATGTCCACTAGGGATGGGAGTGGACATGCCCCCCTCTTTTTCAAAACTGTATTTGATTTCAAAATCCTATTATTTTTGAACTACAAAGATCGCGCTTAATATGCTACTGTTTGGCCAGCCAGCAGATTCTGACTAGGAGTGTGAATTGCTGCTTGTTTTGCTCTGATATACCCCACAAAAAACAAACAAACAAACAAAAAAAACATCAGCATATTTAGTACTATAATTGGGAATCACCAGAGTATTCACAATATGTTATTATCACGATACTTAAATCACGATACAGTATTATTGAGATTTTAGATATGTTGTGATATGCCGAGTATTGTGTTAAAATATATTGTGATATATCACGATTTATTACCTTCTTTCAACTGTAAATTATGTCCCCAAAAGAAAACCTTGTCAACATCTGTTTTATCTGATAAGATAAAGGTTTCAGTCTGTTTAAATGTATTTAGTGGACTGAAAAATCAATTTATCATATTATTCTAAGAGGCCACCAAAAGTTTGAAAGTGATTTGTATTTGTAATATTAATAACTTATATAATAAAACATTGATACTTGGCACTGTGTGACGAAAAATATCACGATACTGTGCTGTATTGATATTTCCCCCACCCCTATTTAGTACTATCCTGGCAGGATTTAGCATGATGTTTCTTTGATTTTGTTTTTGGTTACCGTAGTCCCTAAATGAATGCAGAAATGCAGGACATGGGATTTATATATTTATTACTTTGCTTGGGGAGGAACCCCAGATCCCCCATTTAATAGTGTCTTCCCCACCACTTCTCAAACTTAAGTTACACCCTTGGATACGAGATTTGGTTGATTTTAGCCATGATTTCATCTTGAACTTAAAATCAGTGACGTTGCAGCACTCTATTATGTAACTTGGTACTGAGCTCCAAAAGTTTGTTGCTCTAATAGAGAAGGATGATCTGCCAAACTCAGTGGGTCTGCGTTGTCTGCGTCACACAGTCATCTCATTTGCTCTTCTCTTAACACACAGTGTACAGACTGTTCATATTTGACAACAAACTCATCGTGTGTCTGAAATTAAAATCCATTCTTTACATATGATGGAACTTATTTGCACCCCACATCATAGATAACAGTTTACTTGTCCCGTGTGAAACTCATGACTTGAACATAGAAATATTTCAGGCAGTTTAGGCTTCCAGTGTGAGTTTAGTCTAATAATGTCATTAAAATAATTTACAATTTATTGAATATTAAAACAAGTTAATATTCTTGTCACACAAGGCATCATCTTATTTGAGTGGAAAATACAAACTCTCAAACACAGTGCAGAAAAAAAAACAACGCAAATATAGCGAGGCGAAATGCAAAACGAGAGTGAATGGGGCGGCAGTAGCTTCGTCCATAGGCACTTGCAATGGGAACTGGAGGGACGTCAGCTCAAGTCCCCCATCCACAGCCATTTTTAAGCATTTTTCTGTTGTTATAGCGCCACCCAGTTGCCAATTAGAGTTAAATTTCTCCAGTCACCTTGAGGCGTCCTGTTCTACATATCTACCAAGTTTAGTAAAAATCGATATGGTGGTTAGGCCTAGATGAAGGAATTTGCTCTCTAGCGCCCCCATTTGTGGTCATATGCCTACAAAGTTGCGTGGTGATCGGTGAAACCCTTGAGATGTTATACACCTTTACGTGATGAGCCACGCCCTCCGCAATATTCATTGCCTTATAGAAGCTCAGTTTTAGAAAGTTTTCCAACTTTTGCCAAGAGGGAACTTTAGATATTGGTCCCTAGATTATGTTCACCGAGTTTCATGCAGATCGGTCAAACTTCCTAGGAAGAGAGTTTTTCAAAATATCTGAAATGGCAGAAAATCTATATAACCTGAAGTTATGGGTTCTTGAGGCAAATTTGTTCCTCATGAGGAGAGGCATCTCTGTGCAAAGTTTCATGTCTCTATGACATACCCCATTGAGATATGCCCATTCAAAGTTTGCAATTTCAATCGGTTGCTATAGCGCCCCCCTTTGGCCAATTGATGTAATATTGCTTCATTCGCATCCTCCCATGACCCTCTACCACTGTGCCAAATTTCACATGGATTGACCACATCAGTGAGGAGAAAAACATGGAACAGACACAGAGACACACCCACAGACAGACAGAGTTTTTGTCATTACATAGTAAGATATCTTCTTGGCTTTTACTTTCTCTTTCGCTCGCGAGCGTGTTTACAAACAGTAACCAACAATCCTGCATACCATACCTTTAACTGTTTGCAGAATGGTTCTTATTCTCACAGTTAAGTATCACAGCTGACCAGGATTAAGGAATTCAGCTTTCTGAAAATAGAGTCACTAACCACTTTGATGGCTTTGAACACAAACAAAACAAGGCCAAACGAAAAGTTGAGTAAATTAATTTTTATTACACTGTTGGAACTGTTGTTTATGTTGACAGAAAAGCAGTGAAGTACAGATTTAGCAATGCATAAACCATCTTAAAACAGAAAAAATACCATAACGCCAGTGTTTCCACTTAATGTTTTCACCAGTACACAGGACTTCAAGTTGCAATCTGTCAGGGTATGAAAACAACTTGTGAAGCTCAAGGACTTTGTTTTGCAGAGAATACCACATTCAACAAGCATCTTTTTTTTTTATATTTACTCTGTTGATCCTGATCTGGCTCACTGATGAAATGTGAACAAGTGATGCATAAAGCACCCAAGATACTGTGGATGATTTCCCAATCTGTGTTCATGGAATGCAAACAGTCTTTTTTTATGTACAGTAGATTCACAGTAATTGCACAGAAACGAACAGGGAGGGGCACGCATGGGGGAAAACTGGAAATATTTCAGTTAAGTCAATTGTGTATACTGAATACTGCCCCACTCATAAAACACAGTGAACATTTCTTTTCATATGGGAACCCAAATTTACTTAGTTTGGTGTTTCATATTAAGATCAAGACTTACCAACCACAAACATAGTCCTAACGTGAAGTATAAATACATATATACTGGCATATCGCTACAGTAAATCAGATTATATTCATTACATGTATACAATTTAAAAACATAAAATGGAAAGCCAGATTTTCATTTGAACAATATGTCGATTAGTGTTTTGTTATCATCACAAAAGAAGCAAACAGCTGCGTGTTCACTCTGGACTGCCAGATTAGGTTAGATTAGATCACTTTGACAAGGTGAACAATGACTGAATCACACGTTCATCCGCTGACCCAGTCGCCTGTGAGATGCTTAAGACTTGATACATATATACGTTACAAATAATAACACTGATACATGTGGTCATATGCGTACATAGAATAGTCAGGATGTGCCCACACAGAACCGTGAACGTCTGCACATTCAACAATCAAATTCCAGAAAATACATTTATACTGAGAATGTCCGCACACTCGTTTGTACGGACAGTACTCGTTATATAGTTCCATGTTATAGTCACAGTATTTCCATACATGTTAAAGGAATACTTCAACCTTAAAATGATCATTTGTGTATCAGTTACTCAGCTTGTGTTACTTTGAGTTTGTGAAGAGAACTTTGATTTTCTCACATGCCTCCATGGTGAACGAAGAATCCAAAAAACTGAGAAAATTCTTGATAAGTTTAAGTCATAGGGGTCCAAGTTAAAACAACAGCAAAATTACATCAAAATATCTGTTTACAAACTCTCACACAACTCATGCAGTATAATCCAGGTCTCATTTATGCAGTCGTATGCTCAGTGCTTCCCAAATAGACAACCCTTTCCGAGGGGGAACTGTACTGAAAGTGAAACATTTCTATGCTCTCCTCAAAGCCAAACTCCATTGACAAAACCCATAGTTTTACCTCACTGAGCACAGGAGCTGCTGGTCTACCACTGCTTAGATCAGTTAGTTTGTTTGTGTTATTGTGTGACTTTTGTGTTTTAAGTAATACGTCAGATTCACCAAAGTCACACAATAACACAAACAAACCAACTGATGGAGGCAGCTATAGACCAGCAGCTCCAGTGTTCAGTGAGGTAAAATTACTGTTTTTGTTGATGGAGTGTGGCTTTGAAGAGAACATTGAATTTGACTTTCAGTTCACTTCCCCATCCGATAGGGCTGTCTGTTTGTGAAGTACTGAGCATACAACTTCATAAATGAGGCTTGTATTATACTGCATGAGTTGTGTGAGTTTGTAGAGGGATGTTTTGATATAGTTTTGCTGTTGTGGAATGTGGTCACCTTAGACTTTGATTGGATTCTTTGTTCACTGGAGGCATGCAAGGAAAAACAAAGTTGTCTTCACAAATTCAACATAATGCAGGGTAAGTGACTGATATACAAATGGTAATTTGGGGGGATGAAGTATTCCTTTAATGAAATTTAGAATTATGTAAAAATCATAAAAAGGGACAAGCCACTTGTGATCCTTAGTTTTTCCCACGCTTGTTTCCCATCAGAGAAACTTTTTTCCTGCTTCTTTGCCATAGGCCAATCCAGGTGCTACAGCAAATGATGGCGATGTCATTGACACAAATATCAACATCTGCATAACACATTTAAAATTATAAAAAGTTGATGTGGGTCATTTTCTTTTTATAATGCACTCCTCTGGTTACAAATCACATTACCAGAATTGTTTTCATTTTCTGTGTGTGTGCGCTTCTACACATTTTGTGTGTATTCTCAAGCCACTCATCAGGAAATCCTTGTAGCTGTTTAATATGTCGCCATGAAACAAAAGCCAGAATACTCAGCCGTGCCAGGAGACCAAAAATAACACAGGAGCTCGAGGAGCAACAACTATGAAATGGTTTTGGCCACTGTGTGGAATAACGCAGTCAAATATGAGTTTTCTGTATTGACTACAGATGATAATACAATTATATTTTGCAGTTTCATATCCCAATCTTCCCTCTCCTTGAATGATCCTTCCAAGAAAATCTATTTCTGTTTGTCTTCACATTGTCACATCGCTCCCATTTTCCTCCAGTCGTTTGGATCACCTTACATTTGCTGTACTCCAGTGTTTCTTGTTGTAGATTTTTAAGTTGATTTTCTTTACCTATTACCATATCATCTGCCCTAACATCTTTAACACCTATCCTACCTACCAGCTCCCAATATATCAGCCTTAAAGTGATAGTTAAGATCTTTTGAAGTGGGGTTGTATGGAGTACTTATCTGGTCAGTGTATTACACACAGTAGTTGTCAGTCAGCACGCTCCCAAGTTGGAAAAGCAGGCTGGAATCCAACATGGAAACTAAGGGAGCAACCACACTGAGATGAAACGCTAGAAACGAGACGCCAGTAAAACCATTGTTTTTCTATGATACGGTGCGTCTGACTGGCATTTAAGCGTCTTTTTAGATGGCCGTTTTTCTGGCGTCTTTTTAGACGCGCGTTTTTGTAGACGCTTCTTTTTAGACGCACGTAGACGCTGAAAAGTTAAAATATTTTCAACTTTTTGAGCGTCAGACGCCAGTAGCTAGCATGCATTGAATAAGCGCTTCCAGCGTTTCAAGCGTCTTTGAAGCGTCCTCGTCTCTAGTGTCTCATTTCTGTGTGATCACCCCCTAAGCAATGTACTACTGTGGACGTGGGCATTAGCAGAAAGTATCTTAGCCACCTAAAAATATTTATCATTTTGAGAGTATGCTATAGTTAGAATATTTTCATCGCTTTACCTCGCCTTCAGACAGGAATTTAATTTTACTAACTGATCAAGGCAGCAGCAGACTAGCAGCTCAGTTTTCAGCAAGCCCAAATTACTGTTTGTTCAGTAGAGTCTGGTGGCTTTGATGAGAGGATAGATGGGAATTTGAAGCTGTTAATGGCATCTCTGTGAGGACGGGCTCCCTGATGGAAAGGTAGAGCCGTGGAAACACTCTCAGTGTAGTGTACACTTAAAATGTTAGATTTTTTTAGTTGGGACTTTTTTAAGTGGCTAAAATACATTTTGCTGCTGCCCTCATCCAAAGCAGCACATAGCTTAGTGCCTGTGACGGACTCCAGCCTGCTTCTCCAAAACTGGGTGTGTGTCAATCAACATCTACTGTATGTAATACACTGACTATGGATGAGTACCTCATACAACTTCACTTTAAAATATCCCTTTGAACACTGTACTAAAGACTTCACTTTAATGGGAGGACTCATAGAGATCCAGTTCCCTGGTACATGCCACTTCAGCACTGCTGAAATGTAGCATTTGAATCCACATGCCAACAGTCGAGCTGCGTTCATTCATTTTTATTTGAATGTAACTAAATATTTTGTTCTAATATTTGCCTCTTGAAGCTAAGGAAAGACTGCAGATGGGGGGTGACATCAGCAGAGCGGGACTGAGATTTGGAAATGGGTCTAATTTGTTCAAATTCTCTTCATTTGTATTTTTTTGCTATAATGCTATAGGAATATTCCTATTTTAATTGGGATACTTTTCTCTGGGTGGAGGGCATATGTCTACTTACAGGCTTTGGGGCAGGGGGTTACGTTTACTCTGGTATTTTCCTCTTGGAAGGAGGCACCAGGTGTGCGGGCAGCTCTGATGGCAGTTCATGTCCCTCTAGTTTCACTTTTATCAGGTGGTTGGCCAACGCAAACTCCTCGTCATCAAGCATCCCGTCCTTATCGATGTCTGCCAGCTTCCAGATCTTTCCTAGCACCGTATTGGGCAGTTTTGACTTCACCATCTCTTTCTTGGCATTGGCTCCCGTCACCTTCCCATTGACAGGAGACAATGTGTAGAAAATCTCATCATAAGCAGGTTTATCACGTGCAACAACCCACTCTGCTTCATCAATGCCTTCACCCGCCCCTTCGCCATAACCATGGCCAAACGGGCCATCCAGAGTGCCATCAAAGGCACCACCCTTCACAACTGGGTTGGGACGCTGGGTTTCTTCTTGGCGGACCAGGACCATTAAGCTAGCAATGTCGTGGGCCAGCATGTCATCCACTGCCTCCAGGAGTTTGGGTTTCAGAGGCTGGAATTTGTTGAGATCCTGAGCTTGGAGTTGGTCCTGGAAGAGATAATACAGAAAAAAAACAAAACAAGTTTAGGTTTCATCTATCTAATCCTCTATCTCTACATCAACATTCCTTGTCTCTTTCCCGTTTACCTGCATCTTCTTCAGATTAGGAAAATCTCCAGGTGAAATCTGATGCTCTCGTTCGATGCGTTTGTAAATATCTCCCAGACTGGCAATCAGTTCTTTCTTCTTGTTCTCCTTCCCGAACACAGAGGGCATCTCTTTCTTCAGTGCACTGATGATGTAGGCATGGACCTGCATTGTGAGAGTGAAAGATTTACTCAACAGCAAATTTACTGGGACAGCATGTCAGCCTCTATAAAGTTAAAATCCTTAAGATTAACTTAAGGTTGTGGTTAAGTCTCAATAATACAAATATAAGAGTCACTTTTGAAATAACACATTTATTGATCACTTGGGGCAGGAAACACACTTTGAGCAGCTATTCTGTCAGAAATACAACAGTAAATCTTGTCTATATATATATATTTTGATGTAGCTATGTTTGTGATTTTCAGTCCAGTGCATGCATACACCATTTCCTGTGATTCTCTCTCTCTCAAGTGTATGGTAACTGAATCCAGCCTGGGAATGTTGGACTTCACCACTGAATGCAAACTACTAAATAGAGAGCTGACTATATACAGCACTGTACCTTGTTGCAGACAGCCGCTGGGGATGCTGTTAATGGCTTCAGTTCTGCATCTATGCTGTCATCAAAGCCACCAGACTCCATTTACAACTAGAATTACCACCCTGTATGTCTGTGCCTCAGTGCACCAGTCAAGTTTCTCTTACAGTTTACACCCATGTCAGTGAAAACATGGATGCTTCACACACATCATTTGACCACAAAATTCTTCTCAGTTTATTCTTAAGTCCAAATGGATGTTTCTGTCAAATTTAAAGACATTTCTCTTTAGGTGTTTGTGAGATGCCGTGTTCACGAGAATGACACAGATGCAATTTCAAATTGACCTTGGCCTTTTACCACAGAAACCTAATTAGTTCATAGTTGAATCCAAGTGAACATTTTTGCCAAGTTTGAAGAAATTCCCTCAAGGTGTTCTTTTGATATCGCGTTCACAAGAATGAGACCAACAAGGTCACAAGGACCTTGGCTTATGACCACAGAAATCTAAACAGTTCATTGTTGAGTCCAAGTAGACATTTATGCCAATTTGAAGAAATTCCCTTGAGGTGTTCTTGAGATACTGCGTTCACAAGGATCGGACAGACGGACAACCTGAAAACATACTGCCTCCAGCCATGGCTGTAGCCATTGTGAAATATTTGCAGGAACTTGTTGTGGAGGATTCAGTGACTGCCATAGTTTGCATGCGGTACTTCAAATGTAGTTCCTGCCATCTTGTGACACTTTTTATGTTGTTACAGTAACATTTAGGCTGGCACATGAACAGACACAGTGACTGAAATAATAGTAATAATATTCAAAATAGGACAAGAATAACCCGATGAAATCACACACGTCGTGAAAGACGACCAGGAATGATTGGTCGTCGACCATTGTGTAGTCTGTTGCACAATTTTATGACTCCACAATCGCCTCATCTGACATAGTGATTGTCGGAACAGACAAAAATGTCGTGTAGTGTGAACCCGGCGTGAGACAAAAAAAAAAAGTCAACCATTAGCTCTCATGTTGACATCCCCTGTTGATTCAATGTTTTACAGAAACTGATTTAAAATAGGACCCTTAATTATTTACACTGCAACATGCCCGCAGACAAAATCAGATGTCTGCACAAACCATCTTTTAATGCTGCAAAAAGTAAGATTTCTTCAACAAACCATTAAGAATTTCTGAAAAGAATCCTTAAATTGACCAGTTTCACTTAACCATGCTTGTAGGTTCTTTTTGATTTATCATTGTCCTGTTCTTAACCTTCGTTGTTATATATTTTTTTTGGGATGGGACATTTGATAGATGGCTCACATGTAACATCATAAGCAGCAGACTGTTGCAACCCTGGTGTCTAGGGACACTTAATGCTGCTTTAACCAGATTAGTCATCAGTAAATCTCTCAGATTACCTTTGTTGACATTTGTTTTTAATATTCAGCACAAACTTAAAAGTAATGGGAAAACCCTTATTTATTAGGTTGCTGTGGTGATGTGTGTGTGTTTCCCTGTATCGACCCTTTGTCCTTGACGCTCATCACGAAACACACACACACCCTATCGGCTGTCAAACAGGAAAACTGCGCTCAGCTCTCAGTTTGATAAATCTGTGTGTGTTTGAGTGTCTGCACGCGAACATCCTCTGCCTTTCCTCGAACTACAACAGGCAGCATGGCTGTTGCCTCTTATACCTCACTTCCTCTCCGGAGAGGAAACAGGAAGCAATTCACTCAGAGGAAAATAGCCACATTTGTCTGGTTCTATTAGTTCTGTGACAGCGACAAGGTTTTTCTGTCAAGGTTAACAGCTGGACAGGGCGGGGAGGGCGAATGAGTGGTGGGAAGGATAAATAGGAAACTCACATGCAAACACACCTGTGCTTAAATCCTGAACACGTCACTGTCAAATAACATCCCCAGACAAAGCATCACCTCCTGCTCCTGTGAGCTGCAGCGGTGCCATAAGCAGATTCTCCATCACCGAGTATCTGTGTCTTTAACTTGTGCCTTACCTTGGCTAGTCTTGCCCTCTTGATCAGATCATTGAGTTTTCTGAGCGCTGCGTTTCTCGGCAAAGACTGAATGTCCTTGAATAAGTCCTGCTCCTCTGCTTCGAACAGCTTCCTGTTGTCTGGGATCAACAGAGGGTGGGACCAGAATGACCCGATGTAGACGCGGATCACCTGTCAGTGAGGGAAACAGATGGAAAATCAACAGGGGAAAGAACACAAAGAGGCACAACCCAGCTAAAAGCATCTCATTTTTGACAATTTAAGGCAATGAGCAAGAAACGTTATTGATCAGCTTGTCAGTTAATAACCAATTTTACACATACAGTCAGGTCCATAATTATTTGGACAATGATACAGTTGTCGTCATTTTGGCTCTGTACACCACCACAATGGGTTTTAAATGAAACAATGAATACCTGCTTAAAGTGCAGACTCTCAGCTTTCATTTAAGGCTTTTTTCAAAAATGTAGTATGAACCGTGTAGGAATTACAACCATTTCTTCACACAGTCCCCCAACTTTAAGGGCTCATAAGTATTTGGACAAACTAACATAATCATCAATTAAACAGTCAGTTTTAATACTTGGTTGCAAATCCTTTACAGTCAATGACTGCCTGAAGTGTTGGACACATAGGCATCATCAGATGCTGGGTTTCTTCCCTGGTGATGCTCTGCCAGCCCTTTACTGAAGCCGTCTGCACTTCCTGCTTGTGATTTGGGTGTTTTGCCCTCAGTTTTGGCTTCAGCAAGAGAAACGCATGCTCAGTTGGATTCAGGTCAGATGATATGACTTGGCCATTGCAGAACATTCCACTTCTTTGCCTTAAAAATGTCTTTGGTTGCTTTTGCAGTATGCTTCAGGTCATTGTCCAACTGCACTGTGAAGCATCGTCCAATGAGTTTTGAAGCATTTGGTTGAATCTGAGCAGATAATGTAGCCCCAAACACTTCAGCTTTCATCCTGCTGCTCTTGTCAGCAGTCACATCATCAATAAATACAAGAGAACCAGTTCCACTGGCAGCCATACATGGCCATGACATAACAGTACCTCCACCATGCTTCACTGATGAGGTGGTGTGCTTTGGATCATGAGCAGTTCCTTCCCTTCTTCCTTCTCTTGTCTTCCCATCATTCTGGTAGTTGATCTTTGTTTTATCTGTCCATAGTATGCTGTTCCACAACTGTACAGGCTTTTTAGATGGTTTTTGACAAACTCTAATCTGGCCTTCCATTTTTAAGGCTAACCAATGGTTTGCATCTTGTGATAAACCCTCTGTATTTATTCTAGTGAAGTCTTGTCTTGCTTACAAGAGCAGCAGGATGAAAACTGAAGTGTTTAGGGCACCATTATCTGCTCAGATTCAACCAAATGCTTCAAAACTCATTGGATGATGCTTCACAGTGCAGTTGGACAATGACCTGAAGCATACTGCAAAAGCAACCAAAGACATTTTTAAGGCAAAGAAGTGGAATGTTCTGCAACGGCCAAGTCATATCATCTGACCTGAATCCAACTGAGCATGCGTTTCTCTTGCTGAAGCCAAAACTGAGGGCAAAACACCCAAAACACAAGCAGGAAGTGCAGAAGGCTGCAGTAAAGGGCTGGCAGAGCATCACCAGGGAAGAAACCCAGCATCTGATGATGTCTATGGGTCCAACACTTCAGGCAGTCATTGACTGAAAAGGATTTGCAACCAAGTATTAAAACTGACTGTTTAATTGATGATTATGTTAGTTTGTCCAAATACTTATGAGCCCTTAAAGTTGGGGGACTGTGTGAAGAAATGGCTGTAATTCCTACACGGTTCATACTACATTTTTGAAAAAAGCCTTAAATGAAAGCTGAGAGTCTGCACTTTAAGCAGGTATTCATTGTTTCATTTAAAACCCATTGTGGTGGTGTACAGAGCCAAAATGACGACAACTGTATCATTGTCCAAATAATTATGGACCTGACTGTAAGTGTTATTTATATAAGCCTTCAGATGACTACTAGACACCAACTCCAGTTTTTTCTTAAATTAGTCCAGTATTGAGCAAAACCACTGTCGCTGCAAAACAACCAATGTAACCACTTGGGGCATTCAGCACTGTCGATGTACATCCAATAAAAGTGGTTATTTTTGCCACTGACATGGTCCAAATATATCTGTAAGTGTCTGACAACATTATGGAAAGGATCCCTACAGTGGTCGACTTTTTGTTTAAGTGTAAGATTCTTTTTTTTATTAAACCAGAAACAGCCCTAAAATCATTATCACCAAACCCACCAGACTCCATTTCAATACAGTCATTGTAAAATACATTACATTCAAAGTTGACAGAAACAAAATAAAACTCACAAAAACCACCTTGGTCTGTCACTCCACTGTTCCAATAATCACCAACTCTGGTTTGGTTGAAATTAAATCTAAAGTCACCATGTCACATTCACCCAGTCACACCCACAGTCATGCACTGGTGGCTGAGGCTACCATACATGGTGCCACCTGCTACTCCGTAACCATTCACACACACTCACACACCGATGGAACAGCCATCGGGAGCAATTTGGGGTTCAGTATCTTGCTCAAGGATACTTCAACATGCAGACTGGGGGGGGGCGGTGATTGAGGCGCCAATCTTTCAATTAGTGGCCAATCCACTCTACCTCTGGGTGGCTTTGAAGAGCGATTTCTGGGCTGTTTTTGGTTTAACAAAAAGGATCTTACTTTTCACCAAAAAGGTCTATCTCCGTAGGGATCCTTTCCATTATGTTGTCAGACACTTAAAATAACAATCAGAGTCTGTCGGTGGCAAAAACAAACACTTTTAGTTGACTTTAATTGAGGGTGTGAACATGCCCCGAGTTGTTACACCGGTGCCCGTTTCACGGCTGCAGCACTTGCTGAATGCTGGACCAGTTTCAAAAATTGTTGTTCCCATTAAAACATGAGAAAACAGGGTCCACGCATAAAGAGAAGGGCATTATATACACAACAAGCCTGCTCATGCTTGTACCAGTACAGTGTTGACACTACCAGTAAAGCATGAGGGAGCTGTGGTTCCAGTGTTCGGGTATCTTGGCTCATGCTCTGCCTATGTCAGGTTTACCCAGGCTCTGACCTTCTGCCTAAATTTGGATTTTCTGGCAACAAATACGAGTCAAGATGGGGGAAAGCTTTAAACCCACATTCCTCATGTTTACAATACCTCTGGTGTGTTGACTATTTTTCCCAGTGACCACATCAGGGCACCGTACACTCTCATCAACTGCTGCGTCTCTATCTGGTCGGCCTTATTCAGCACAACCCTGGCAAAAAAGTGAGACAAGAGAACAGTGTTGACGTTGATTAAATTGTGAGCTGCTGACAATGTAGTGTTTGTTCTCTAGAATTAATTTTATCTATAAGTCAAGCAACCCCACAGTACCTGATCTTGTCCTCATGGTTCTTCAGGGCTTTTATGACCTCTGAGAACTCATCAGAGATGTCCAATTTGTGGGCATCAAACAGTAAAATGATCCTGTCCACTCGCTCTGCAAACCACTCCAAGACAGCTGCAAAGTCATAGCCTGAGGGGAGGAGAAAGAGGAGAAGGAGGAGAAGGAGAGGATCCACAAAAGTGGTTGGGGTACAAAATAATAGGAAAAGTAAATTAGGATTTCAGATGAGGGACAGGAGGGTTTAGATAAAAAGAGAAAGTGAGGAAAAGAGATAATTAAATTTGTATCCTTTTACTTCCTGTTTCTTTGCTCCCATCCCATATCAGTGTCAAAATAGCATTAAATAGAGGCACATAAAGGAACAGTTAGCCCTAAAATCATCTGACCTGTAGTGCTGTTTATCAGTCTAGATTGTTTTGCTGTGAGTTGCAGAGTGTTGGAGGTATCAGCTGTAGAGATGTCTGCCTTCTCTCCAATAAAATGGAACTAGATGGCACTCAGCTTGTGGTGCTCAAAGTGCCAAAAATACATTTGAAAATCATGATTGTTGTGAGCAGTTTCATGTAGGAACTGTTTTCTCTCTATTGAACTACACCCAACAACCGAATACAATCTACTGCTAGCTCACTTAGCACCACTGAGCTAGCTAACGTTACAGTTCAGCTGAAGCGGACGCCATTAATGTTTACATCTTCTCGTCCATGAGTAAATGCACGTTTCCTTCTGCGTGGTGATAGAAGTTGTGAGAGTGTAGTTTGGTAGAAAGAAAACAGTTCCTACATGAAACTGCTCACAACAAGGTCTGTGTCTCCAACACTCGGCAACTCACACCAAAACAATCAATCAACAAAGTTACTTTCGAGGCACAGGTCAGTCCACTGAGATTTTATTATGATGAACAGTTTGTATAATCCATGACCTGTGCCACGAACCCCAACTGTGATGCAATATTCCCAAAAGGAAACTATTGAAATGGCTTCAGGTCGTAGAGGAGGCAATAAGAAGGACGCCCACATTACAACATGCTGAGAGAAAAGAATGTCTGTTTACAGCTGGACGAGGTCCTGCCAGGGTTCAACTAAGTGGCTTTTTAAAACTAAATAATGAGGGGGGGAAACCAAAAACAATGATATTTTATTGTCTTATTTGGCTTAGATTTTTTGTGAAATGCAATCATGGCAGTAATGAGTGCATACGTGAGTGAATGAATGAGTTAATGCCTCCATAACGTATGAATAAATGAATGAGTGATGAGGTCTGTCAGCAGGAGTACATCATAGCCTCCTTTGACTTTCTTTCCTACTCAAGGACAAAACGGACCCTAGACTGGAGAAATTCCACAGTATATGAGAGGAGAACAAAGAACAAAAGGACAGGATGAAGGATTAGTGAGCTTGAGTTTCCGACCAACACTGAAGGACACATACGAGACACAGAGTCAGTGGTGAACCTGTTACAGCTGATGTTATGGAGTAGAAGGCATTTGCTGTGAATTGGTAGTGGGAGGAAGTTTTATGTTAATACAGGGGATGTCGAATGGATTTTCTGAAGAGCTATGTTTGTGAAAGATTGTCTCTTTATAAATTATAAACCACATCACTAAGCTTTGAAAGTGTTATCACTTTGTATCTAAATCTGACTCACTCTGGTCCGCCTTCCTTGTTTACACAAAGGCAGCCTCACTATACAGACATAGCTGTGATAGAAATCCCACTTTTCACATACTCACTGAAAAGCTGCTATTGCTACTGTGGCTGCACTGCTGCTCCTCCCAGCAGAGGAATAGTTTACACTCATAGTGAATGACTTCCACAGTGGCTACATATATTTATCCGAATGTTAAACATATTGCTAAGGCTGCCCCCTGATAGTCGACCATAGTCTACCAGAAAGGTGCCATTTGTCGGCAAGATTTCATTGGTTAGTCACAGAGAAAAAACGTGACGCTCTATTAGAAGCTGTGCCTTGTCAGAATAAATCCAAACCTATATGACTGGACCATGTGGGAATTTAATTTGAAAGGACAGACACAGGAAGTGTCCACGCTCAGCAGTCAGACAGGAGTCAGGTTAATTTCCAGGGCTGGTACCTGCGGTTATTCCACAGGCTAGTTAATAACATGTCGGGCAGGAAATCCAAAGTGTGGGATCATTTTGAGAAGGTGAAGGACCAACCCCAGGTGATATGTAAACTCATCTTCATTGGTCGACTACAAACATGACGTATCATCTGAAACGTGGAAGTAGCTACATGCCCATTAGCCCACAGCGTCATTAACAGGCGGCTCGCTCAGTGTGTGACGTGCACTTGTAGATAAAATATAGGCCTATATTAATGAAGCTTCATTAGTACGGTTTTGTGTTTCTCTGTAATGTAGCACAGTGTTAACAATGTTACTGATACTATTCTTTCTCACACCTTCAACTCAAACCACCAAAATATATCATTTAATAATTATATTAATATCGTAAACATGCGGGTGACTAGTCGACTAATGGCCCTAAATGACGACTATTGGTAGACTAGGAAAATTCTTAGTCAGGGGCAGCCCTACATTTTGCTGACATGATGCCTCAAAGGCTCCTAACAATGAAAACCTGGTCATCTTTCAGAACAAAATGTTAAGTGTTCAATAATTCCTCACTGGGATGTGAGCAGGGTTTGGCAGCTGTAGCAATAAGTATGTAAAACATGAAAATTGGTTTCCTTTCTCTCCTGTATGAGCAGAGCTGAGAGGAGATAGAGGGCACACTGCTGCTTGAGCAAAGCTGTGGAGGGTTAAAAGAGAAATAGATACCTTGATATTTTGAATTTTAACGGATTATTCTTCACAGGACGCACTTTTCACATGATGTGGGGAAAAACAAGAATAAGTCTAAAGCTACACTATCACTAGAGCCTGCAATTTTCATAAGACTGTGAAAGCTGAAGATTTTCCTATCTTAGAGCCTCACCACAGAGACACGAAAAATATGAAGTCTGTCCTGACTGTGGGTAAGTAGAGTTAAGGGAATCACAAGTACACAATTAGGGTTCATTTTGTTAGGGGCTCATGAATATCTACAATTAATGTTTCAGTTTTACAACTTGTGTACAAAGCCAGTGTTTTCCACAAATGCATCAAACAACGCCCAGCTGGCTGAAAATGGCAGCCAGCTGTGTACCAAATAGGGTGGTGGATGGTGTTAATTGAACACATGAAGTGGTGTGTTAATTGACCACCACTGTTGTGTTAATTTTAGGGTTATAAGTCTTTTAGAAATCATTGTTTGGAAGGTCTGTAGTCAAAGCTAGATTATCTGCAGAGGTCGACTCCTGCTCCCCCAAACACACCTCATGATTAAAATGGATAAAAACACTGACTATCACGTAAAAAAATCAGGGTTTCTCTGACGTTCTTTGGCGGCCAGAGGATGTAAAGAGGGGCTGAGATGCTGCTAATATTACAGTATCTCTACCTGCTTCTACATGCTCAGCTTTTTTTTTTAGGTTAGGATTCCTTCAGTGTTCAACTTTCAAGAGGTTTTTACTGGGAGTCGAATTATGCATAAAGACTGAATAAAGCAGATTCATATAAAAACGTGTCTCTCCGACACTCTTAGGCTGGCTCAGGACATCCGGGAGGGGCAGGTGGGACTGTGAGGCAAACTGGCACTAATGTTAACTCAGCTTTTTTTTTGTCTCATAACTTAAGATCCAGACGTCTGATGACTAAAATTCTTCATCTGGTTAAAAGATACAGTTCAAAATGACCAAAAGGTGATGGTGACGTGACTGGAAACAGTGAGAAAGTAGTCCCCGGGAAATGTTTTAATGTCCCGCTATCCGGCATTCCTGGAAAACTCTACAAAGCTAACATTTCAACCTGAGGATGATACTAGTTCAGTGGTTCCCATCCTTTTTTGGGTCAAGAACCCCTTAATTTATACACATTAGGTCATGGAGTACCATTTGATAAGAGGTTACTTTAGGGACCTCCGTCTGCAAAGATTTTAGGTTGTTAGAATTCTATCGTTGTCTACTACAGTTAAGGGGAGAGAACGATAGAGGAAGTGAAACCTGTAGTCAGAATAGTCGATTTTATGACTCTTTCACACATTGAGCTAACTTCTACAGTGAATTCAATAATGGAAATTAACATCCCCTATATTCTAGGGATCTCCTGGTAATCCATCAAGGATTCATGGGGAATCTTTTGACCCCTGATTAAGAACTACTACACTAGGGTAAATGCTCTTGGAGTATGAATGTTAGCAAATTGGGAGGACTTACTAAGAAATTTTGTTCCAATTTGTCCACCAAATTATACTGTTTTCTTTTGAGGGAAAGTGGAATTCTTGAATTGATTGTGGCAGAGTGCTCAGAGCTAAAAACTCAGGGATTCCTCCTCTAATGTCACTAAAATACATCCAGTAGTTCTTGAGATCTGTCATGAACAAAAGTGTTGGTCGATGGGGAATTCATGAGATGGTGGCAAAAGACGAAAGGCCAGAGAATCACCAAAAACAAACTGATTTCTCTTCTCAGGATCATGAGTATTAAGTTCACAGCATCTGACAGTAATTCTTGAAATATTCCGCAGAGAAAAACCTGAAATAAGGAAAACTACATTTGACACATCTGACTTAAATGTCCAACTAGCTACCCAACAAAGTAAATTTCGGGACAAAGATATTTTTTCCCCTCAAACCATGTGACAAGAGTCTGGTGAAGAACATCTAACAGTCTATAAATTCTTCAAAATATCACTTTAATTAGCCTTTCTGCTACTGGGTGATGCCCAAGTTTATCTACAATACCTCCATAAGGACATCTATGTAGGCAGCTATAGCCTGACTCCTCATCTGGACACACGCACACAAATAAATAAATACAGACAGTGATGAAAACAATGCAACAGGGTGAAAGAAAAGTGAAGAAAAGAATGAGACACAACATACAGATATACAAACAAATGAAACATGAAAACGTGACATGCAATGGACAAAAGGATGGAACTGAAAGGAAATGAAAATGAACACATTAAGAAAACACTCTCACATGCACTCTGTCCCCAGAGAAAACACAGCTGTGCTGACTCAGAGAAGTTTAACCTGTATTTTTTTTATATCCAACACACAACAGCAGGGTCACACCTCACTGTGCTGTTTATTTGGTTTGACAACACGTTCATGGGACACTTTGACCGAAGAACCAGAAAGTAGAACAGACTGGATGAGGGTCTGCTTCAATTAAAATACTTTCAGCTGTAAACAAAGTGAAATTCTGTCGGTGCTGACAGACTGCCGACTCTTTGTTGTTTCTCAACAGAAGAGCTGCAGAAGGAAACGTTCTCATGACAAACATTAATCCAGACCCAACCCTGCTATGAAGTAATGTGCTGAACTCAGTGACCAGATTATGCTCCTTGTACTTATTTAGCCTTTGAAACTTCATGAATTTGTTCATATATTTTATAATGTCAGCACTATGAATTTCATATTATTGTCCATTCACAATGCTTTTGGCACAACAAAGGAAATACTGCCTCATTATGAAAGCAGGAGAAATCACTTCATAACCATTACTAAAATGGTAATAATGATGCCCATAATGGAGTTCACACCTGAACTCATATTAAAGGATTATCTCTTTTGAGTGCAGATAAATGACAGTGAAGTGTGAAAAAGGTTTCTATTGAATCAGGATCTGCTCTACCTTCAGTACTAATCTACTGATACTGCTGCAGTATTGTGTTCTGACAAAAGCATCATTATAACACAACATATTTAGTGTTCAACAATAGGAACGAGCATGAATGGCACCCCTTTGTTAAGTTTGTGTTGTTAAAGGGAACCTATTATGCTCATTTTCAGGTTCATGTTTTAATGTTCATAAAACCCTTTATTTTCCTCATACTGTCTGTGCTGGATCACCTGTATTCACCCTCTGTCTAAGAAGCTCCATTTTAGCGCCTGTCTCTTTAAGCCTCCGTCCTGAAAAAGCTCAATCTGCTCTAAATGGTCAGTGTTTCCAGGTCTTATGTATCTGTTAAAGCTTCTAAACCATAATCTTCACAACCGGACATGGTCCTACAGAAAAATGATCAGAAATCAGGGAGAAATTAACAACATCAACAACCAAGATTACATGTTTCCCTGAAATTAGCATGAAGCAACATGTAGCCCCATCCTTGCAGCGAGGGAATAAGTGTTATGGAGTAAAGCGGGACTTTGCATCGTGAAAAATCACTAATAAAAGCTTCTCAACCAAAATCTCTAAAATTGGACGATCCAAAATCAGGGAGAAATTAACAACATCAGTAACCAGGATAACATATTTCCCCAACATTAGCATGTAGCAACCAGTAGCCCTGTCCTTGCAGCAGGCGAATGACTCTTAAAATGACTTTTTACACTTAAAATCAGCAATAAAAGCTTCTAAACCAAAATCTTTACAAGTGGACATGTTCCAGCAGGAATATGATCCAAAATCAGGGAGAAATTAACAACACCAGCAACCAAGATTACATAATTTCCTAATGTTAGCATGTAGCTACATGTAGCAGTGTACATAATGTAAAAACTTGCAGTAGAGAGCAGTAGAGTGCCTGGAGCCAATGACATATCAAGAGATGTCTGTCATCACGGACTGAAAACACTGCAAACAGTATTCAAAACGCTCTGAGGCCTGAGGTTTTTGCTCACAGGGATTACTTTTACATACATTTACCTCATAATTTGAATCTTGGCTGCATTTAATACAACCATTCAACATTCTAATATTGTACATATGACAGAAAAAAGGAAAAGCATAATAGGTCCCCTTAATTCCTTCAACATACAAAACCTACTTCTATTTTGTGGCAGTGTGCATTCAGTGATTAATGTACTGTGGTGAAGGCCATTACCAAGAGTTTTGGTAGAAGAGACACAATCAGTATGGGCCGTATTTGGCATAAGAAACCTCTAGACAGTGCAAAATTAAGACTGGAGTACAAACAAGGGGAGAGAGTGGACAGACAGAAGAATGGAGGGAGTAAAAATGGACAGTGAAAGAGTGGGTGAATGTGGGACAGACTAAATTATAGCTGTCTTTCATTATCTGAGATCTTTTGTTCATGTTAGCAGTTGGTATGGCAATACCACCGTTCAGCGCTGGGAATGCCAGCCATGCCAGACACATATCAAACTGTAAGAAAGCCCTGAGGAATTCTTGTGAGCCGTTCACACCTAAACTTCTCTCAGTTCAACACCATGGTTGAGATCTGTTCAGTTCACATCTTAAAATGTAGATAAGAAGTACATTAAGGATTAAAGAGCTTTTTGTTTTTGCTTTACTTGCAAAAAATGTCCAGTTTTATAAAATTCCCATGAGCTGACCTTGGTATTCAGAGATAAGCACCAATGGATAAGCAAAGAGCAGCATGCCCTAGAGATTAATGAGTTTTTGTGTAAACAGATGGGATGAATCAAGAAAAAATGTCATAATTAAATGAAAAGACCATGTAACGCTCTTTAATTTAAACTGGCCCTTAGCTTGCAGATTCTTAAATTTCCATTTAAAGGAGGATACAAGACTTGAAAGAGTGGCTACATGTTACAAGCCATGAGAATTAGACGTCATTAAAAACATCTGTATTTACTCTAACTGCAATAAATGCACACATGCATCACACTCTTTATCTGGTATTTTTGTTGCTTTCATGTTGTAAAATTATTATTATTATTTTTTTTTTTTTTTTAAAAAGTGGTTCCTCCAATATAATCTGAATAAATGTCTCAGCCCCCTAATTCTTTTCACAACAAGACCGTTGTTTTTATGTTGTACCCTCACCACAGTAGGAACGAAGTATAAATAGAATCCTTAAACAGATTTTATGGTTCTCTGGTTACATTTTGTTTTAACTTATTCCCACAAATACTGAAATTTCATTCCGAGCCAAAGCTAAAACATATGTAACTACTTCGACTACACTGCAAGTCCTCTTAAATGTACAACTTTGTTTGTTGACCATAAAAGTTTAAAAGGATAGTCTAGATTTTTTTAAGTGAGGTTTTATAAGATATTTATGCATAGTTAGTTTATAGCTTACAGTAGATGGTGGTCAACACGACCCTTGTTTAGAGAAATAGGCAGTAGTGCCACCATGGAAGCTGAGCAATGTACTGCTGTGGATGAGTCAACAACAAAACTTATTTTAGCCAACTAAAAGTCCGACCTGAAAAAATCAATATCAGTTTAAGGGTGCTTTCAGACCTAGAGTTATCTCCTTTGGTCTGAATCAGGGACTAATTTTGTCACAAAGTTGTATAATTGCCGAGTTGGTTTGTATTCTCACGGCAGCATTTACAAGAGGACCAGATCAGATGCCTTGTGTGAGAAAGCTGCTCTTGATTGGTCAGAATTTCCATGTGGGAAAAATTCAGGAAGTAAACAAAACGTTGAAGAAGAATACACTTGCAAGATAAATGTGACACTTTCTAATGTCACAATGGAGGGACAACTACGCAGGTTGATTTTAGCGCTGCTCATCGTGGACTATATTGCTGTCATTGTTCATTTTAGTCAAACCATACAGTTTGAAAATCTGGACCATCCCTTTAACACACGAACAAGCAAATGTACGTCAAAATGAGTACTGAACTTTACAGTGTTCAAAATGTGTGCATGCATTTGTGTGTGTGTCTTGTGGATGTGTGTATAAGAGAGCACATTCAGAGCTCATCTTTTTGTCGCTGCTTCCTGTTCTTTGAAATGAATGAAGCATAATCCTCCTGATAGCTAAAAGCTAAAATAAACACACACGCGTACACATCCAAAGGAAATGCTGACATTGTGGTTCAGAGTTCAGTGGGACTAGATGGGGGCTGCAGCTGAATGGGTCCAGTGAACGAATACTGACACACACATACACACACACACTCATTACCATAAACAGAGGGAGATAAGAGTGTGTGTGTCTTACCTCGACTGATTCTCTGTTTCTCTCCTGACAGAATTCCTGGTGTGTCAATCACACTGATGCTTTCCAGCACTGGGTTTGGGAGCTGGGCACACACAAACCTAGAACACACACACAAGGAAAGGAAAGAAGGAGAGGAGAGGAGAGGAGAGGAGAGTTAAAAGAAACTGGACAGAAGTGTAAAATGTTTAAACAACAAACATCATCCTACACCAGACCTCTGCCTCCCTCTCTCCTTCTTCTCCTCTATCTCTCCGTCTCCAGCTGTATAAATACTAACAGGTTAGCGGTCGTCCTCACTGTGAACCCCCCTAATCCCCACTGATAGTCAGCGATTCTTCTGTCTCCTTTCAGCAGCGGTGGGCCCTCACAGCAAGGACACTATCGGAGAGTAAAGCGTTTTTGGCACTTTTTCTTTTTCCAGAAGGATGACTCTGCAAAGACGACTGGCTGTCTGTCTCTCCCTGTCTGTCTCTCACACACAGACAGCCATTAAAAGAGAAAAGCCTGACCAGTGAGCAGAGGGAAATTCAATCACGCAGGAATGTAGAGCTGTAGCGTGGACTCTCTTTCTCACTCTCCCTTTATTTTCCACTAATTTCCCCGTGCGTCCACACACTCCACCTTGGTACACCACTCTGTGTTTTCACTACACACACCTCCACAGGTATCTGACAGCTTCTGCCATCAGTGCATATCATCTGGTGCTTCGTGAAAGTGTGTTTACCTGTTGAGGAAGGCGTTTCCGAACGCGTTCAGCTTTCTGAAGGGCTTCTTGGGGTCAACCACCAAAGCGTTACCGGGGATGACTCCCTCTGTGTCGCCATGCATCACCGCGATGAAGGAATCCGTGGTGGGTTCAGGGCCGATCCGCATTCCGGGAAAATCCTGCTCCAGCAGGTAGCTGTAGGGGAGATGGTATTACATGGCGTTACAGAAAACAAGACGAGATGTTTTTGATAATGATAATAAGTAATAGTGCAGAGGGCATTGTGTAGATAGCATACTATGAGGCGACAAGAGTATATAATACAACTTCATAAGATAACAGCATGTATTACTTTGAATTTTTTAAAGCCCCTCCCCCCACACTTAAAAATGTAATTTTCTTTTGTTTATGTCCCCTAAAATGTCTGACCTTGACTATACTGACTTCTTATCTGTGCAAAGTTTGTTACTTTCCTCTACAGAAGGGGGTGACATCTGTGACCATCTCTAAAATCTCAGTTTCAAGCAAGCTAGATTAGGTACGTAAGCAAATCGCTGTCTAATACTGTTGACCAGGAAGAGACACTAAACCGACAAATAAACCTGAAACCTCCAGCGCAGAGCGGACTTGTCAGTACAGAGAGCAGTTAGCATTAGCATAGTGAAAGTTTTGACAGTAGACATGTTAGAGTGTGCAGTTTCTGGATATAAACAGGACCCATGTGAACACACTGTACCATCAGAGCAGATATTACTAGGGTTTCACAACCATTAACGCTGAGTCAGCCGCTGCCATTTAGCCTACATGCTAACAAGCTAAAAAACAGCATAAACATATAAAAGATGCTAACTAACACTTAGCATTCTGATACGACTGCTAGTCACCGATTTTGGTGCACACCAGACTCCTCATCTGACTCTGACTCTGACTGAGGCTCAAATATGTACGGCTGAATCTCTCCCGTGTTTCCTCGAAAGGTAACGTTGGTTATCTTGCTGTGCACTGCTCTAGCCGTAGCTAGACCTTTCTCCACACCTAATTTTAAGTGAACTTAAAAAGCAAAACCTTCTGGTGGGCAGGGTGGAGGCCAGACCCAGAGTCTCTCGCCCCTTTTTAGAGTTTTTAAAAACTTTTTATGTGGGAAAACCTTGTTAAACAAAATATTAATCACAGCAGAGTATTTTACACACTTAAAACATGTCTTGTCTTAGAGTTAAATTATGTTTCTGTGAATGCATGTACAAGTTCTCCAACCATGGGTTACTGAGTCAACCCCTTACACAACTGCTTGTAGTTGACCTTTCATCATTTCTATCATTCCAATGAGTTGACTGAATCCCCACGGTCAACTTCAGGCAGCAGGGCAGATGTGCGTTACATCTGCAGGCTCTAATTTGAAAGAAGCGCTGCAAGACCTTTTGGTCAGGATGATAAGAAGCTATTCAAAAATCAACAGAAACCAAGTCTGTCTTGAATTAGAAGCTGCTGGAACGAAAAATGGGGGAATTTGACATCATCCTGGGCTGGATAGCTGCTGAGCACAAAGTAAACCACTGCTCCAAATTCAGCAGCATTAAGTTTGAAACAAGTTTGTTTTGTGGTTAGATAAGACAGAGATGGAGGTATTTGGCCAAAAGTGGGGTTAAATGAGCGAAACCCTGTTGCAGGAGAGATGGTGAGGTATTTAAACCCAAGAGCATGGTGACTACTGTCAGGAGAAGATGACAGCATCACACTCTGGGAACGACATGCTAGATAAACAGATAAAAGTGGGCACAATAACAGAGAAGAAAGCATAGCTATCAGCTACAGCTGGAAATTTAGGCCTCACTTAAGTGTTCCTACAGGAAAAGTCAACTTAGAAGCATCAAAATTCTTTTTGGAGTTGCTAAATATGTTTAAAATTAAGAATACTCTGACTGAAGTAGGAAGCTGAGTCTGTACAAGAATTTGGTTGAGCTCTACCATTGCTGAGAAAAGGAGTGGTCATATACACCACCCTGCCAGGCGCTTGTTTTGCTGACAGATGATGAAAAACAGCTGAATGAGGTGAGAAAGGTTAAAACAAGATGGACAACCACATGTTCAAGTTTATGCATGTATGGGTTGTGACTGGGCACATTTTTTTTTTAGCAGACCTATAAACTCAAATTTGTGAATGTTTCCTGCTGCAAATGGGTGTTCGAGTTACAACTGATGCAAACTTTTGACCTCATCTTTAACCGTTGCTATGGCAACACAGCTGACTTAGATCTCATATGTTTGAGGTGTGAAAGGTTGAATGCTTATCTGTTAATTCAGTGACATCACTCATCCCAGCGATGTGGGTGCAGGCCGTAAAAAGGAGATTTAGGCAAAAGATTTACAGCTAAAGGGCCATAAATTCAAGATGTGAGTGTGGGATGTGTATGCATTTTAACTGCTACCAGATGTAAACACAGCTCACTTATACATCTTCTCCACAAACACACACACACCTTGTCAGAGGAGTCAGCAGTGCCTGGTAGAGCCATCTCTCTGCACATGTGTCTGTGTAGCATGTCTGTGGAGAGAGGTTGTGCAATGCGTGTGTACAAGTAGACTGTATGTTTGATATCATAAAGATACTGTGTGTGAATGTGTGTGCAATTCATCATCTCACATCATGCTATTTCATTTATCAGGGCTTGACAGTAATGGTTGCCAGGTTGGTTGTATCAGTGACAGATGCTTTTTAATATATAGGCTATAAAAAATAGGGAGGCTAACAACAAAACATGCACTGAAGAATAAATAAATTTTTAATATTTGCTGCAATAGTGATATTTAAATACTGCCGTTATAGTCAAAACTGGACCAGCCAACGCTGCATGTGTATTGGTGCGTTCACTCGCATGCGCACAAGCATCTGTTTAAGAGCCCTGACCCACCAAGCCGACATTCTGCCGTTGGTCAATGTTGGGCCATTGTTGAGCCTTTGTTGCCCTTTTTTTGTAATTTAACCAGAAAAACCTCTTGAGATTAAAAAAAAATTGTATACAAAAATCCTGCAACAGTGATTTGAGGAACCAATGAGTGCATCTTTAAGTCCCTCTGCAGAAGATTCCACATAAAAGCAGCTGCATACAAGGCACTCTTGCCAAACTCTATACGTATCCTCGGTACAGACACTAAAAACACGCTCTGAGAATGGAGAGCAGAGCCATTTTCAATTTTTCGCTTAAAGTACACACATAAATATGTTGGAAGTAGGCCAAGAATAGCTTTGTAAACATGAGAACGCCAGTGAAGACTTCTACGAAATTGTAAAGAGAACCAGCTAACCCAAGCATACAGGACACAGTGATGAGTTAGTGGCTTACAGTTGGTAATGAACTGAATGAGTTATATTTGTGCTAGTTGGCCGTAGTCTTTGCGGTGTGTTTAGGTGCCAACTTTTGGCCGAGGCATAGGCAACATGAGGCGACGCAACAGTCGGCCTTTGTTGCCACTGGTTCTTTGATGTTGATCTGGTGTGTCTGAACCTTTAGAGATGATGTCAAAGTAAATTAATTTAGTTTAACTGTGGGGTGAAAAGTTTGGCTCATCGTCAACATCACAAACATGAAAAGTGAGTCAACCGACAAAGAACCAGATAAACCTGAAAGAAAAACGAGATGTAAATTTGTGAAGTCTTGGGAGGGTAAGCATCCTGGCATTTTGGAGCTAGATGGAAAATTATTCTTCAAGGCATGTACGACACACCTTGATAAGTAACGTTTCTAGTTCACTGATTAACTGATAAAACTTCCGATGCAAATTCTGTGAAGTATCAGAGAAAACACAACAGATTTTGTTTGCTTACTGTAATAAAAGCTCTTATTCGTTTGAGTCACATTTTCATTATTAAGCTCCAGTATCTTAATTACACAAAATATAAGGTGACTAAAATGCCCACCACATTTTCACTTTCGACAACCATAAGCTGATGCCTGGTTGCCAGCCTGGTAACCACTTTCAGAAATTTGCGTTGAGCCCTGTTGATCACATTCTGTGCAGTATGTTGTCAGTGGTACTTTTAAGATGATAACTTATCTGTCAAATCCAGCTGATTCAGCGTCCTCTAAAACTTCTAAATTCATTTAATTAATCAAAATCAGCCCCCTGAGAGTTGAAATATGGCTACATCTAGTTTAAACAGCCTTTTTGACATTTTGAAAATGTCAGAAATGGATTCTGCATCTTCAGTAACCCCCAAAACCACTCCAATACTGTCCAAATCCACCAAGCAGTTGCTGAAATATAGTCTACATAGGTGGTTATGCTAATCAGTGCTAGCGATGCTAATTTCCCAACATATTCAAGTTAGCATCCAGGAAATGCTGGGCACACATTCTGTACATTTCTAGCATAAAACTTTGGGGAGCTCAACATTTCCAGGTTCACATAGTTGGCAAGTAGACTCTCTGGAAGGCTCAAGTCTGATTTGAGGTACAGTGACAAATTTAGGCCAGAAAAAGTGTAATTTTCAAGATAGAAAAGTCAACTTGGGCTCAATTTGAAGCCTGTCAACTTGGGCAGTTCTCTAAGTGAGGCAGTGATAGCAAAGTGATGAAACATGATCATTTTAAATTAGAATCTGTCAAATGGACAGTAATTTTTTTGGTTTTTGGGGGATGTTGTGCGTAATATTTTGAAATAAAATGGCAGCAAGCCCCAGAATCTTAATGTGCTACTTTCCCCTTGGTGTCAGGATACTACTTGCCAAATTTCATACTTGTATGGCTATTTATTTATCGTAGCACCCTAATATTTGCATCATTTCGCCAGAAACATGTCCAAAAAAAGGGGTTTTGGGCCCCTTGAGACCACTCGGCCACAAGTTGTGGGTGCTTGTTATCAACTCGTGATTGCCCAAGGTATAGGCTAACGGGAAATAATTGTGGGAAAAAAAGGTAGCAGGACTGGACCTGACTCCCGGCCTATGAGACCTGTGAAATGAAACTGAAAATTCAAAAGGTACATGCTTCACCAACCCATGACCTCACAGTGACATTATATAACGTTTAAAGCACTGACGCACATTAAAATCTACCTGTGAGCACAGAAAATAGAAGACTATGACTAGACTAAATATAGTTCCTGTCATCCCAGCCAATTTGTCCTGTCACCTTGAAGGAGAAGTTGCGTTCTGTGGATGATTCACTCTCTGAAAGACTCAGAGTGTGAAATTTGCAGCAAAAAAGAAAAATCGATAAATTTCAGCCCTGAAATGAAGACAGGCTCAGATTACTGACCTCTGAATAACCGCGAGAGACTACATTACCCTCCACCAACATCTCTCGCCTCTCTGTCCATCTTCTCTTCCTCTGACAGACATTCATTCACATTTTATCACTTTCCTATTTCACACCAAGTCAAACACGATTTAAATAAACATCACTGTTGGAGCTTTTCCGACCTGCACTGCTCCCACATTTAAAGTCTGGGGCCCTGTGATGCGAAATGAAAGAGATGCTGACTGAGGGTTACTCAGCAGTTTGTGCATTCTGCATCTTAGTGTTACAATGCCGGTGGTGTGCCGTGGGGGGGTCAGGCTGCTGACTGGTGGGTGTTGTTGGTGAGAAAGAGAAACAAAAAGACAGGGAGAGAGGGAGAATCAGTGAGAGACAGAGGAGGAAGATGTCTGCACTGCCCTGTCTTGTAGCAGGAAGTCACTAACAGCATCCTCTCTCTGGCTTTCAAAGGCTTACTCCAGTAATCACCCACTATGCTCTGCAAGCCAGTGTGAGTGTGTGTTTATGAGTTTGTGTGTGTGTTTGTGAGGGGCATGTCGTTAGTAGCAGTCCTGCAGTTCAAAAGAGGCCCAACACCCTGCTGCTGATAATCTCCTGCTGTCACACATAAACACATACACCAACACCAGAGCACACAACTCTGTAGAAACACTATTTTTATAGTAAGTTTTATGCTAAATCTGAATTTGTTCATAATAAGGCACCCTTGTCCAGAATAATTTTAAATGGCTGAAGCACTATCGGTCATACCCTGGTAACAAAGAGTACTTAAGGTACTGATAAGCAAGCAAACACTGCTTTTCGCTTTTATCTAAATAAAGATAACTTGTATTAAAGGCACAGTTCACCCTTAAATCAAATATAAAACAGCCAAGATTTTCCAGCTATCTTAGCTGAATTTAGCCTTGACTCGGTTTCATGAAAGCAGAGGCATGGAAGATTTACTCCAGACCTGCTCCAGTCCAGGCTAGATTAATCCTTGTGGCTTATCTGCTGGAAACCAGTGTGTTTTTTCTGTGATTTTATGTTTGTATTTTGCCTTACTGATACTAGCTTGCATTGAAATACCACAGATACATATGACCACTCAGTTAAGTATTCATTCATTTCTGTAACCGCTTATCCTGTTAGGGGTCGCAGGGGGCTGGAGCCTATCCCAGCTGACATTGAGCGAGAGGCAGGGTACACCCTGGACAGGTCGCCAGACTGACGTGCATGTCTTTGGACTGTGGGAGGAAGCTGGAGTACCTGGATAAACCCACACTGACATGGGGAGAACATGCAGCTCTGCACAGAAGGGCTCCCTCACCCCAGGTATGAATACCCCACCCCAGGTTAGAACCAGAAACCCTCTTGCTGTGAGGCAACAGTGCTAACCACTGCTCCACTGTGCCACCCACTAAGTTAAGTACTATTATTATTTTTATAATTATTCCTGTGATAGTCATAGGCACTGTTATATTGTGTTTATGAAGACTGATGTTCATATTGTTGTCAGACAGGCATGCCCAAATCCATCCTGGGGGCCAATTGTGACTTGCGGATGGCTTTGAAACGGCTCTTGGCTTGTCTTCTAAAATATACTCTCAGTGGCCTCCAACACAACTAGGGTTGCGACGGTATTAGATTTTCATGGTATGATAACCGCCTAAGAAAACATCACGGTTTCACGTAATCATAGCATTACTTAATATATATTACTATCAGTGAGAATGACCCTTAAAGGAATGAAAATGGGAGGGTTATTTTTAGTTAAACAAACATTTTATTATTATAATTGGATGTATGTGTAAAAAGTCTCTCCTTTTTGAATTACTAAAATAAAGGGGAGATTCTCCTTCCAGTTGCGTCATTTCTTCAATATCGTAGATAAGCAAATGTACACAGTATGATAACCGTCAACTGTTAAATCACGATAGTATTGCTTGATCAAGCAAGTTCATGTTGCATTTCTCTGTTCACCTTGCGATGACAGAACTATCGTACAGTTTGTAGACATGCACCAACTAGGAACTATGCAGGTGGAACTGATATGCTTTCAGAAAGACATGGTAAACAAGCAAGCAAGCAGTTGGCTAACAGCAGATAACTCCTGCGAGGTGTCCACAGCAAAAAAGCGTGACGTCGACAGCAAGGGCTGCCACTTTCAGGAGCAGTGAAAAGTTGTATAGTTTTAGTTGCATTTGTCTCATTTGTATGTTTTTAATAACCCATATGATGTGAGGCGCAGCTGGCCCCGAGGTCACTTTATCGAATATGGCTCCCATTACAAAGAAGTTTGGACACCCCTGTTTGAGGTTTTATGAATATATTATTACAGATGTTGAAATTATTAAAAGTTGCTTATGAAGTTGCAAAGGTGTTTTCAGTTCAGCCAGTAATGAGGACAGTTTTTCAGCCTTTTCAAGTCATGTTTACAGTGCCTTCACCACCTGAGGGTTACCCCAGACAGGGCTTGTGACATCACTGATGCCTGCGCTCATTGTTGAGGTTTTTAAGTGGGTTTTTTGGGCGTTTTGAGCACCACAAGCTGAGTGCCATCTAGTTCCATTATATTAGAGAGAAGGCAGATATCTCTACAGTCAATATTTCCAATTCTCAGCAACTCACACCCAAACAGAAGAGCTACAGGTGGGAGGAAAAATGTGTATTTTAGATTCAGGGGTGAACTGTCCCTTCGAGCATTAAAGGCTAATTCTTATCTCCACCAGATGAGGTTTTATGAGCTAGTAGGTCCTTATTACAAACCCTGATGTGTCTTATCATCCATACACACACACATCAGGGAGGACTGCAGTGCCAGGCAGTGTGTGGGTGTGTGTGTTATGTTTGCTGTCATATAAACATTTTATGGATTCAGTAAAGCTTGTAGAGGTGTGGCTTCCTGCAGTTAGGCTGTGGGTGTATTTGTTTGGTTATCCTCCCTTTTTTTCCATATTGCTGATGGTTTACTATCCCATGAGCTCTTCTTCCTCTCTCTTCATAACAAACTGCCTAACTGGTGCAGCTCAGAGAGTGTAAAGTCAGTTTGGGTGTGTCATCCTCTCCCTGTCTATCTTTCTGGTGGCCTCATGTGTTGCGTGTGACTCCCCTTTCCATATGAACCTCTTCATATATGTGTATGTGTGTTGTTCCCCTCACCGTATGAAGCTTGTCTTGCCGGTGGAGTACTGTCCCACCAGTAGGACCATGGGCTTGTTGTCAAAGTCCGCATCCTCCAGAGCCGGGGAGTGGAACTCATGGAACTTGTAGCTCTCCTCCAGCGGCAGGAGTTTGGTTTTGTAGAGCTTCTTCAGTCCGTCACTGACGGTCTGAAAGACCTCTGGCTCCTTCTTCCTCCGGTCGTCGGTTCCAAGCCAGCTGAACATGGCTGTTGGTTGCTTGTTAGGACTAGTGAAGCCTCTGATGGGTGTAACTGGTCGGAGATGCTGTTTTTGTCACTTTACTGACAGGTTATTGAGCTATCCTGAAAGGTCTGTGAATTTGGTATGTCCTTGAGATTTCCTTACATATACAATGGGAAGAGCTCCAAATTAAAACTATTAAAAAGTCAGATAAGCTGGAACTTAATTAAAAACAAATAACTTCAGATCCACCTTTAAATCCAAACAAAAATGACAGTTGGTGACATATACGCTCTAAAAATAATCTATATTGTTTTCTACAGGTTATGTTTTACTGGAAATATTCTCAAAAAAAGATCAAATCTCCTTAAAAGTTTTGTTTTATCTTAAATCAGTCTCAAGATAATATATGTAGATGAAATGAAGTCAGTATGTCCTTCCACACTGATGGGTGGTGACTGTTGCTGTTAATAATATAAAGGTTTAGTTTCTTATATTCAGCACAGTTGAAGGTTATTTTGTGTCCATTGATATCTACAACAATATTAAAATCCAAATTGTTGTATGTATTATATCAGAAATTAAACCTGACCCTTCAAATACACTCTCATCATCGAGTCCATCGGTCCTCCCCAGTCCAGGCCACTTCTGCTCCAGGGCCACAAAAACACAGCTTTCAATGAGTTTGTTGTTGTTTACCAGTCTATTTCGGTAAACAAACACTACCCAGAAAAAGCCTAAATCATTCCGCTCATGCACAACGTCACGTTACCGCTATTCAGTTTCGTCCAGCAGCTAGCGGAGGAATCCCAAAAATGATGCACCGAGCCGCTGTCACAGCTCGACCCCCGTTATTGTTCACCCGCTCCCGCTCCTCTGCCCACCAAACTACCCGGATCTCCTCCGGAGCTGAAATTATTTCTGTCGTTTCGGTTTTAAAAAATAAGAGTAGCCTGTTTAGCTAGCGGTTATTTTCTGTCACAGCGCGGCGCTGAGTGTAGCAGCAGCTGATGTCCAGCAGCTCAATTTAAATGCCGAGTTGAAGGAAACCCGACCCCGGCGGAAGTGCCCAACGCCTGGCAGCCCGACCCACCGAGGTCCCGCCCAGTGATGCTGGAGCTGAAGCAGAGCAGGAAGACGCCATGATGGTAGAGGGGAGATGGAGGAGCAGCCGTTAGACGACAGCGCGACACCTAACGGTTAATAAGGGGTTTCAACGTTTATCAACAGTCCAACGGTTTGTCATACATATATATTTTATATATTGAAACAATATGACATAACTGCAAGTCAGTGAACTTTACTTTTTCGAGCATTTCCCCCAAACTTGAATAACTGACCCAAAATGGCAGTTCACAGACACCTCGTCATTAGCAGGTAGCCTACATTTACTACTGCACTTGAATACAATTTTTAGGTACTTGTACTTTAACGTTACTTGAATGCTTCTGTTTTATGCTACTGTATACTTGTACCCCACTACACTACATCTTTGAGGGATGTACTGTAGCCTACTTTTAACTCCACTACATTTATTTGACTGTTGTAGATATCAGTCACTTTGTGGATTGAGATTAGTGACAGCAGTAATTATAAAATATACAATTAAAGAATAAAATGGAAAATTAGCCCACTTTTACCAGCTGTAACATGAAAGTGACACTGACATATAAATGCACAATTTATTTTATTTTATTTTATTTTATATTTTTATTTTTTACATAACATTTCCTGACATGGGACCCGATATAAGCCTACAAAATAAATAAATAAATAAATAAACAAAAATAAATTAAACACAAAAAAGTACAATAAATAATAATCATAATAATGCACTAATATATATAATCAGATTATTTCATATTCTGAAAGGAAACATTCTGAATGAGTACTTATACTTTTGGTACTTTAAGTATATTTTCATTCTAAAACTTTTGTACTTTACTGTACTGTAATTTTGAATGCAGTACTTTTAGCCTACTTGTTGCCGCTTGTCAGTGGTGGAAAGTAGTACTTATACTTTAGTTAAGTGTTAAGTGTTTCCATTTTGTGCAAAATTTACTCCAAATTTACTCAGTTTCTTTTTAGAATATTTTTTGGGGGCATTTTAGCCTTTAATTGATAGGACAGTCAAGCCTGAAGGGGGGAGAGAGAGAGAGGTAGTGACATGCAGCAAAGGGCCACGGGCTGGAGTCAAACCCAGGCCGCTGCAGCAACAGCCTTGTACATGGGGCACCTGCTCTATCCACCAAGCCACTGACGCACCAAATTTACTCAATTTCAGAGACAATTTAGCCATCCTGTGCGGAGTTTGCATGTTCTCCCCGTGTCAGCGTGGGTTTCCTCCAGGTACTCCAGCTTCCTCCCACAGTCCAAAGACATGCAGGTTAATTGGTGACTAAATTGTCCATAGGTGTGAATGTGAGTGTGAATGGTTGTCTGTCTCTATGTGTCAGCCCTGTGATAGTCTGGCTACCTGTCCAGGGTGTACCCCGCCTCTCGCCCAGTGTCAGCTGGGATAGGCTCCAAGCGGTTACAGAAAACTAATTAGTGAACTTTTGTACTTTTCTTTGAGTAAAACTTTGAATGCATTACTTGTAACAGAGTATTTCTATACTGTTATATTGTTAAAGTAAGAAGTGGCCCACATTTACTCAAGTTCATAAGTAGCCTACTTATACGTAAATGCAGTAGAGTAAAAGTACCACAATTGTCGCTAAAATTGAGTAAATTTGAAGTAAATTTTGCACAAAATGGAAACAGTACATTAAAGTTAAAATTACTAGTTTAAGATCAGGGTTTTACATGGCGAACATAGCGTAAAAATGTCATGCATTTAGATGAACCACTCATCAGTTTATAATGTGGGTAGCACAAGTTTCACCTCGACTTGCTACAACAGTAAAATGCTACTCAAACATGAATGTGTTATTGTTAAAGATGAATTAATGTGACATTTTACATATCATATAATACTCACGGGTATTTTTAAGCATAACAAGTACTTTTACTTCTAAAACTTTGAGTATAAAATACTTGCAGACTTTTACTTAAGTAAGATTTTCATGCAGGGCTTTGCTTTTATAGTGTTGATCTCTATAGCAGTGATAACAATTACTCTGAGGCAGTCAGTATTGAATGAATTTTGATGTGAAAGGAAGCGTCCTTGCACTTGCCTTTACAGAAAATATAATGATAGCTGTTTAAACTTTGACCAGCAGATGTCTCTGTTCACCCTTTTGTTGCCTCTCATAGAAGCAGGTGTCAGGAATGAAAGTTAAAGTTTAACCTAGTGCTGTACACATTTCCTCAAATATATGAATGTTTTGAAGCTGTAGCTTCTGTTAAAGCTGGTAAGCACAGTACAAACCTTTGGTGAGAAAAGGAAAAAAGTCACCAAGTTCACTTTATTGTCGTTTGTTTGAATATACAACATTTCTGTCTTGCAACGTATAAAACTATAACAAAAATATCTCTGACTTTTCTCCCAGAGTAAAACCATTTAAAATGGGTTCAACTTCATGCACATCATCAAACTTATCTTCACATTGCAGATAACCTGAGTTGTGTAAATACATAAAACTGAAACTAAATGCATCTTTGGAGTTTCATAGCTCCCCCATACCTTTGGGTACTTGCCAGTTAACAGGAAGAGATTTTATGATAATTAACTGCAGTAATTCCCCGGATTACCCCATGACAGAGCACAGTGCCCGTAACTGCGTTGTGAAGACGATTAAAATCAAAGCGTCCTTCATGTACAATTTAGAGTGTTTATACATTAATGCGGGTAGAACAACAAACAGAGAGATAAGAACGAGGGACAACACTGACAATTAATTTTCTCCATTATTACGTGATGAAACATGATCGACATGGTGTACTTCTGAATAACAAAGCTTGTGTTAAAGGAATGCAGAAGTGTCAGTCACATAACTTCTAGAAGAGACAGCATAAAATAAGATGAGCATCTAAACCTCTCAGCTCGAAACAAGCAAGAACATGTAGCTTACAGAAATAAAACAAAGATAATGCTCTGATATGCTGAAAAGAAAGAAGATGATTGCAAATTAATGTTGATTTTCTTAGTAAAAAAAAGCACAGATATGATAGACACATACTGTGGGTCAGGCAGCTTCGTTATTTATAAAATCTCTGTGTTAGGTAGAAAAAGAAAAAAGAGTTAAGTGCTTTTGACTTCATCATATATGAACATATTCATCACAAAGATACATATCTTATTAATCAGAACAACAGTATTTCCTTCATATAATAATATTCAGCCTTGGTGGATTTGTATTACAGTGATTCTGCAATCACTGACCGAGAAAATGGGGAATTACTTACATCATGATTCAGCCCAATTTACCACAAACATTCAATAAACATATACGGTCCCAAGGTGTTTCAACGAGAACGGGTTAGTGCTTCACCTGGAACTAAAACAGGAACAAAGTAGAGCCATAAAAAACCTGCAACCCACAACTACCTCCACTAGACAGCATTATCAAGTAAACATGAACATGTACAATTATAGAAGATCAACAGTTAACTGTTGTCACAAAGAGTATCAAAACATTACTGCTAAGTGAAAGGAAACACCAAAGTAGGGCTGGGTAGTATATCAATATTATATCAGTATCATCATATGAGACTAGATGTCGTCTCAGTGTTGGATATCATAATAGAAGTGTCGTCTTTTCTTGGTTTTAAAGGCTTCATTACAGTAAGGGGATGTAATTTAATGAACTCACTAGACTGTTCTAGTAAGTCTACACTCAAGTAAATGATTTGGTCTATTTTGTCCGGTTTACATATTGAATTACATATAAAAATTTCCATCTAACTGAGACAACTAAGTCTAACATATACCAAAGAATACCTTTTATATCATTAAATTAATTAAAACTGAGATGAATAGACTATGAGATTATGTAACCATATCTCATAGAATTTATTTTATTTACCGTAAAACAGTTTATATATTTACTGTTAATTTCTGTGTGCTTCAGATATTTTGATGTTCATCAACAAATTTGAAAAACACAGAATTTATGAACGTTATTACATAAAATGTATTAAAGTAAATAAGGTTAATTCTATGCTATATAGTTACATAAATACTCATAGTCTCTTTGTCTCAGTTTATTTGATTAAATTACATGAATAGTATTTTTTTGGTTTATGTTAGAATTACTTGACTCAATAGGATGGAAGTTTCTGAAATATGTAAACCTGACAAAAGGCAGATAATCACATTACTGATGATTATTTATCAAAAAACGTATTGTGTTCTGTGAGAGTACCAATAGTCAATATTGTCGAAATATCAATATTGAGATATATGGTCAAAAACATTTTGAAATTTTATTTTCTACATATCGACCAGTACTACATTAAAGTGAGATTCGTTTATCAGGGTTTTTGTACTACCACTTAGTCACTGGAACTCACAAAGACTTTGCTTTCTATCCACAAAAAAATCTGTAATTTATTTTTTGACGATGGTTTTGGAAGATCAATCTTTGTTGAGCTGAGATCTGATGAGAGTTGACCATGGTGTACATGGTTTACATTTGTATAACACAGTGTTTAATCAGGAAGAATACTTTGCCACAGGATGACAATTATCTGAGTAAGCCACATATGTACAGGTCACAAGCAAGTCTCAAGTCTTAACCTTGAAGTCACAAGCAAGTCCTAAATTACTGTGGTAAGAATCAAGCAAGTCAAGTCAGGCAAGGACAAGTCAAGTCATATAAGACTCTGGTCAAATGTTAGACTTCTAGCTAATGTCTGACCAGTCAATAAGCTAATAAGTTAGCGAAAAAGCTTTCTTACCTTTTTACTACTGTCATCTACAACATAATATTTGAATTCTTATGGCCCTGACACATCAAGCCAATGGTTGGCTGGTAGTCAGTGTTGAGCCGTTGGTGAGCATCTGTCTGTTTTTGCGGTGTGTCCTGCGCTGTTGCCATTTGTCATTTTTTTTTAGCCAATTCAACATGTTGAATGAAATAGAAACAACCTTGTAAGATTGTTTTTTTTTAGCCACTGAGCTCTTTAGCAGAAACAGTTTGTAATTGTTTGTCTTATCGTTTACTAGCACACAGTAAATATGCTCTGTTCTTTCAACATTAGATTGTGTTGTTAATGTGCTAACTCGCTAACTAGCATCTTAAATCTGTCCTGTTGGTCTCCTGGTTTCCCATTTTGAATGACGAACACAGACTACCATTGCCTGCTGGCGTGGAGAGTCCTCTCTCACAAGTGTACAACGTACCTGCTAGTTGGCCATTGGCTGTAGTCTTTGTGATGTGTTCAGGTGCAACTTTTTGGCTGAGACAGGTAACGTTAGGGGACGCAACACTTGGCTTTCGTCACCACTAGTTCTTTGATGTCAGTTTGGTGTGTCTTGGCCTTTATATCCCAATTCATTTTTGACAACCCCCCTCCATGATAGTCGCCCTGTGTGTTGGCCTCTGCTGGTCTGCCACATCTTAGTAGAATGCTAGGTTTGCACGCATTGCACTAGAAATCACCCAATCATGTTTCAAAAACAAAATGTAACTACTCAGTATCTACAAAATGCAAATATTTAATTAAAAAAGTCTCAAGTCATGAATACCAAGTCAAAGTAAACGTCAAGTGTTTTATCAGTGTTGGTCGAGCAAATCTCAAGTCCTTGACTTTGTAACTCGAGTCAGACTCAAGTCATGTGACTCGATTCCCCTGTCTCTGGTTATCTCTAAGAATGTTGACTTCATATCAAGCACAAATATATACAGAAGATATTGATTAGTGTACTAAATTTTGATCAGAATCAAGGTGAGCACAGATAATTTCCTTCAGATTTGATCACAGTGTGATTTCTTCATAAGCATTCACATTGGTTAGTTCTGATAATATTAATAAAGCAGCACTATTCACAGGTATAAAAATACTCTGACTACAGTACTAAGTGCTCCTTGAAATTAGATTTTGTATAATGATACTTTCATTTCATGTTAAATTTAAGTGGACATTTTAAGTGCAGAGGAAGAGCTTTTTTGTTATAACGGGGTAAATACGTTGATGAATATCATCTACTCATCCATCGAGATTACCAAGTTCCATCTAGTAAACAAATCATCCACCTCCAACCCTGTTCCCCCACCTCTCTCCTTCGCTCTCTCTGCCTCTGCCTTCTCCTCGGACCCTTGTCTTACAAACACATTTTCCAGCCTCAGCTTGCCCTTCATCGAATTCACCTCCTCCTCCTCTCCTTCCATCCCGTTCTCCCTCCCTTTCTCTGCCTGCATCAACCTATCCAAACCGTCCCTCTTGCTGTACTCAAACGCCATCTCTGGCAACACTAGTTTCCCAGTCTGGGGATCCCAATCAACACAAATAGGTCCCTCCTCTTCCTCGTTATCATCTTGCTCTATTTCCTGTGCTGTAGCCAGTTTCACAGCACCATAGTCATCGGGGAAAGAAGCTGATTGGCCAGCGTAGGAGGAAGCCATGTTTGTGATATTCTGACAGGCATAAGCAGAAAGAAGGGGTAGTGCTTCACTCCCATTTCTTTCCTCCACACCTCCATCTATCTCTCCATCTGTTCTCACTCTTACCTCTGCATCCATCTCTTCCTCCACTCCTTCCTCATTTGTTTGTAGATTTAAAGGAATGCAGAAGAGGCCAGTTTGTGGGGTTGTGTTTAGAAATAAACCTGTAAACTCTCTTTCCTCCTCCTCCTCTCCATCCACCTCTAACGGAGGTGCTCCCTGAAAAGACAGTAATGGTGGTAACACCGGCTGCGACCATGCATGTGCTTGCAAAAGTGTGCTCGTCTCTGTCTGTGTGTGTCCGGGGAATAGGCTGTCCTCAACTTCCCAGTCTTTCTTCTCTGAATTTTCTCCTGCTGTGCATTTCTTGTGTTCACCTTTCAGATTATTCCCATTTTCTCGGCTGATTTCCATTTTAGGACCAACACCAACAAACCCATAGTCGATGGACAAATTATCCCAGGGTTCCTCTGGGGCTGGTGGTGTTTCAGGCCTCTGGGAGGCGTATCCTGGTGGGGGTAGTGCACAGTGTCGTGGCCGCTTGGCACATGCAGGGACTGATATGCTGCTTTCTGGTGGCAGCTCTTTGATGATGGTGATGAGGATGAGGTTGGGTTTCTCAGGTGGGAATGTCAGAGGGGGAGGATGAAAAGCAGGTGGGTCCTGGAGGTTGAAGGAAAATGAGTGTACTATTAGAAGATCGACCATTAACTTTTGAAACAATTTTTAAGTAAACTTCTGACATTTTGAGATGCCATACAATAGTCAAAACTGTTATTTAATTATCACATACCAATTAGTCCCTCAAACAAAATGGACTGTTCCCCCCCAAATCGAGAATACACTTCCAAGCTCCCCTGTGCGCAATGATTAGAACTTCGATGTAGTCAAAAAAATCAGGCCTGACCCTACATGAACACACATAGTTTGTGTCCAAACCCAACCAGATGCCAAACCAGTGAAACACACAAGCAGTTTTGGGCCTGAGGCCCATTTCAAACACTTGAATTTTTACTGTAAAGAAAAACTACAATTACTGCTTTGTGGTTGTATGCCTCCGTGAACCAGTCAAGTTACACTTACAGTTCACATCCATTTCTGAAAACATGGATGCCTCACACACATCTTCCCCCCCAGCAGCACAGGAGATATATACAATCAGCACAGCTTCAAGGTGGACACCCAAGATTAGTGTCACCAATTCAGTATCTGACCAAATGTCTCCCCCTCTGTTCCTGAGATGTGACGTTGAGTAAGGGCTAGGGAAGCGTTTTTTTGCAGAACAATATGATGTCACAGTGAAGCTGACCTTTGACCTTTTAGACATAAAATGTCATAATTTTATCCTATTGGACATTTGTGTGAAATTTGGTCATAATTAGTGTATGAATTCTTGAGTTATGGCCAAAAAACATGTTTTGTGAGGTCACAGTGACGTTGACGTTTGACCACCAAATTCTAATCAGTTCATGTACCAGATCTGAGGTAACTCCTTCAAGGTGTTCTTGAGATAGCGTGTTCACAAGAATAGGATGATCGGACGGACAACCCAAAAACAAACAAATAAACAAAAACAAATGCTCAAAATTACATTAAATTTGAATGCATATTCTGACATTAAACAATTAAAATACCAGCAATCAGTGAAAGTTCTACATCCTGCTGGTAGAACAGTGGGTGGTCAAAGGTTAAAAATCCAAGTAGACATGTTTTCACAACATTAAGGACAAAAACTAGTTCAGTTGCTGGTGTGTGTTTTAAGTGTGTATGTGTGTGTTTGCATTACCAGTATATATGGGCTCTTCTGTCCTTTCCCCGACAGGTAGCGATAGAGAAGGTATCCAACCACCACCAGCACACAGATGCACACAGCTGGAACAACAATTCCCACAATCACCCACCGCAGCTGGCCAATCAAAGGGTCTAGAGGGAGACAAGGGTAAGAAACATTAAAGGGATAGTCTGGATTTTTTGAAGTGGGTTTGTATTAGGTACTTATGTAGCTTATGTTACTGACAGTTGATGACGGTCGGTGCACCCCTAATTTGGAGAAGCAACCAGAAGTGCCGACTCGGAAGCTAAGCAATGTACTGCTTTAGATGGGTCACCAGCAAAACATATTTTAGCCACCTAAAACAGTCACACCTAAAAAAAGATCAATAATACATAAAATGTACACTATATTTAAAATATTTTCACTGCTTTATCTTGACACAGGCAGCCCCTTCCAACGAGGAGGCCATTAACGGCTTTAGTTCCCTATCTATGGTTGTGTCAAAGCCACCAGACTCAGACGCTTAACAAGGGAGCTGCTGGTCAACTGCTTCCTTGATCAGTTAGTGTGTTTGTGCTATTGTGTAACTCTGGTGAATCTGAATGAACCCTTTGAAACACCAAAGTTGCACAATTACATAAACAAATCCATTGAGGCAGTGACAGACCAGCAGCTCCTGTTTTCAGTGATGTTATATTATTGTTTTTCTCAGTCTGGTGGCTTTGAGGGCATTGATATAATGGCTTCAGTTCTTCATTGGAAATCACTTTGTGTAGTAAGGTAAAGCTGTGAACATATTCTAAATAACTCACCATCCACTTAATTAGGTACACCTGTTCAGCTGCCCGTTAACGCAAAAGCAAATCGGCCAATCACATGGCAGCAACTCAATACATGTAGGCATGTAGACATGGTCAAGACGACCTGGTGAAGTTCAAACTGAGCATCAGAATGGGGAAGAAAGGTGATTTAAGTGACTTTGAACGTGGCGTGGTTGTTGGTGCCAGACGGGCTGGTTTGAGTATTTACTGGGATTTTCACACACAACCATCTCTAGGGTTTACAGAGGATGGTCCCAGCAAGAGAAAATATCCAGTGTTGATGCCAGAGGTCAGAGGAGAATGGACAGACTGGTTCAAGATGATAGAAAGGCAACAGTAACTCAAATAACCACTGGTTACAACCAAGGTCTGCAGAAGACCATCTCTGAACCAACAGCACATCCAACCTTGAAGCAGATGGGCTACAGCAGCAGAAGACCACACCAGGTGCCAGCTAACAACAGGAAACTGAGGCTACAGTTCACACAGGCTCACCAAAACTGGACAATAGAAGATTGGAAAAACATTGCCTGGTCTGATGAGTCTGGATTTCTGCTGCCACATTCAGATGGTAGGGTCAGAATTTGGTGTAAACAACATGAAAGCATGGATCCATCCTGCCTTGTATCAACGGTTCAGGCTGCTGGTGATGCTGCTTTGGGCCCCTTAGTACCATCTGAGCATGGTTTAAACACCACAGCCTACCTGAGTATTGTTGCTGACCGTGTCCATCCCTTTATGACCACAGTGTACCCATCTTCTGATGGCTACTTCCAGCAGGATAACGCACCATGTCACAAAGCTCAAATCATCTCAAACTGGCTTCTGGAACATGACAATGAGTTCACTGTACTCCAATGGCCTCCACAGTCACCAGATCTCCGGTGAGTGTATAGCATACACTTAAACAACTGATATTGTTTTTTTAAGGTAACTAAAATATGTTTTATTGCTGACCCCTCTCAAAGGAGTGCATTGTTTAGCTTATGTGATGGCACTCTTACCTGCTTCTCCAAACTGGGGGCGTGCCAACTGATATCTACTGTATTAAATACACTGACAGTGGATAAGTACTAAGGATAGACCGATACATCGGCCGGCCGATATATCGGGCCGATATTTGAGTTTTTTACTTGTATCGGCATCGGCCGATACGCGCGTGGGTTTGCAGATTTATTTTTCCCTGGCATGATTTACAGACAGGCATCCACGGGCAGCTCTGTGTTGCCGGAAGATCCTGCAGCGCACATGCAGCGAATCCTACTGTGTACAGTAGTTGTTGTTCAGCTTAAATATTTGTTTATTTTATAAAGACATTACTGGAAGATTTAAGAGCACTGAACTCTTTTTTTTATTTGAATGTATAATAATAATAATAATATTCTACCTGTTCTACCTCAACTTTCCATCTTGTTTTAGTATTTTTTACTGTTCAATAAATGTTTCTTATTTTAAACTTGAGACCTGTAATATTTGTTATCATTGTGTCATTTTTTTGATGTAAATTGAGGGAGCAAAAGCAGTATCGGCCCCAAATATCAGCTCAAGAAAATCGGCAGTCCATAATCGGTCATCGGCTAAGGGTGATGGAAAAAAATCGGTATCGGCATCGGCCCTAAAAAATCCATATCGGTCTATCCCTAATAAGTACCTCATATACCCCACTTCAAAAGATTTTTTTCCTTTAATACATACATACAGTACATATGCTTAAAGGTATTCACTAATAGAAGACGTCTCAAGCACAAACATCAGTCTCTCTTCTCTCATCTATATCATGTTTGGTCACATTCTGTTCTACCTGTCAAACAGGGAACAAAATATTCTCTTATACACACAGTGTGGTTGTACCTTCAGGCGTCATTATGCACTGCCATCCTGAGGGCTGGCATATGGCAGGCATGGAGACGAACCTTGTCTTGGCAGAGAAGCAGTACTTTGTATTGTAGTCCATCAGGCGATATTTGTACGAACTGGAGACCACTGGGAAATGGTGCTACAAAAAAATAAACACATTTAGATTAATTAGTGCTATAGGAGAACTTGATGGGACAGTGCCAGAACTTTTAAATATACTCACCGTCTGGCCTTGACCGGTATTGTAGATGGAGAGGTTGTAAATCATCTGGGGGTAAACTGTTGCCATGGAAACTGCTTTGGTGTGGTTATTAGGCAGATATCTCATTGGACCTTTCAGAGTGATGATGGCGTTGTTTTCCTCTAGTTCCACAGAAACCAGCGGAGGACCAAAACTCGCTATACAGATATACAAAATATGTTAGGTAGATTTTAAATACTTAGAGTTGAAATATCGACTATGTCACCAAAGTTATCAGCCGTCCTATGTGCGTGTCTGTTCGTATTAACGTCTCAGAATGTCACTTCAACTTACTGTCTGTCTTTGGATCGAATCTCCTCCCTGTCAAGGCCCATTTGGATGACGCTCTCCGGCTCACAGCACGCACCCTGGCATAGTATCCATGCTCCAGATCCCATGTCTCATTGCTCAGATCACACCAGCTCCGCACTATTTCTGTACACCGCCGCACCGGCCTCCACTGCACCCGTCTTCCTTTGCTGCCCTCAACACTGTCCCCGTAGCTGGGAAACATAGACGAGAAAAAAGTGAAGACGCGGACAGCACTCCAGTTTGACTTTTTAATATTGCCAGATGGATGTTTCGGGCAAGACGCCCTTCTTCAGTGAATATTCTGGCAATACCACAAACAGTATACACAGGTGGGGTTAACTATAGGTGACTTCAACAGGGTGGAAACCCAGACGAGACCACAAACTGGGACAGTAGAAATGGAGGGAGTGAGCTTAAAACACACTCCTTTTGTTGTGCAGCTTCCCCTTAAGCACAAAACTTCAGCTCACACAAGCTGTATGTTAGATCTAGTTACGTTTTTCTTTTGTGTCTGCATTCTTCTCTTTTCTTGGCTTCTTGTTGTTTCTAAGTTCCTTTGAGACTTGCAGAAGAAAAGCTTATATAACTACATTAACCTCAGCTTCAACCAGGGGCGCCTTTACTCTCAAAACAGCGTGCACAGTTTTGCTAAGGTTTCCAGGTCCAATGACAAGTTTCATTTAAACGGTGTGCTGGGAAATGGGGTTCGAGGTATGTTTTTTCTCATTTGGTGGGTGTTGCCTAATCAACAGCAACCATGCAAGTAAAGCCATTTGAACTGAAATGAATTAAACCCCACCGTACGAAAGGCAGTGCACTTGCATAACACAACAGGGTGTTCAACGCACCAACATTTTTGTTTGAATAAATGTTTTTGCTGTGTTTTGTCAGGGCTGAATGCATCCCAAGTAAAGTCCAAGGTAGTAACAGAACCAATGCACCTAAAAAGAAAGAATTATAGTGGCTTCCAGTAGGTCACTACGTTGTTGCTTGTCAATGGGATCTAATTTGCGCATGCTGTAGGCATCAGCTGTTCCGCTCATTCATTGAGTCCACATGTCTCTCTTGCTTTTCGTGCTTTTATTACTTACATTCAACACAACTTGTATCCAGAGACCGTCAAGCAGAGTTAGGTCGCTAAATCGCATTGTTTACCACTTCACTGTCTTCTTCCCTGATGCCGTGACCACGGTCTAGAAACAGTGTGCTTCCCAGGCATGCAACACACCTGGCTGCTTTTCCCTGCCCACCTAAAGAATGCCCAATTTGTATGTGACAGTGTTCACAGGTGGTATTACAGGAAGACAAACAAAAGCAAACACAAGGAAAATTGTCTCTTACAGTTCCTTTAGTGTGTAATCACCTGAAAATAAAAATCGTTACGTTAGAATGAGCCGTCTATGTCTAGATAGGGAGCAGATCCTCATCTATGCACATCACCATGTTTCCAAACCAAACACTGGCTCTAGATAGGGCCATTTACATTTTCACATTGGCCCCTCCACGACAACAGCATCATAAACACTTGCTTTATCCAGTGTTTTTATCCGTTTAAATCACCTGGTCTGTTGCTTTTGGAGAGGACGAGACCTCTGTGAATAATTCAGCTCCTGGTTAAAACTGTCCTGAACGTCTGGATCTTATGTTATCAGAGAAGAAAGGTGAGCGCAGCAGATGCAAGGCTAACAGCCTGTTTCTGACATGCCAAACAGTGTTGGAGAAACACTGATTTGCAACATGAATCTGATTTATTCAGTGTTTTTACCTGCTTAGATCACTGGGTGTGTTTGTTTTGCAGGAGGAGACCTCTGCAAATAATTAGGCTCGTGGTAAAAACCTCCTGAACAAGGAACACTGAAACTTCTCCCAGTTAGAACCTCCTCAGTGTTCCTTGTTCAGGAACAAGGAACACTGAGGAGGTTCTAACTGGGAGAAGTTTCAGCTGGTTGTATTCTGCAATCCTGACCCCTATATCCTCCTAAGACCCAGCAATTCATTTTTGTCCTCTGTGGGGGACATGAGTCTGAGACCTCTAAATTAAACATCATTTATGCAATCTAATTGAGTCCCACTATACTGTCAAGAGGACATCCTGGGCTTTCTAATGATGCCACAGATTTCAGAAATGTACAATATTTTTAACCCTGTCAAAACACAACTTTTATTCAATGTCCTTTGTAGGGGACAGCGGGACTTGCTAACTTCTGTTTTTAACCAATTTCCATACTTCCGAAATTGTGAAGTGTATCAAATGTAACATGTTTTTGTGTGTTTCAAAGACAAAAAACTGCTTCCTGTTATACCATGCATGATCTGTTTCTACCATTTTTTTTCCCCGTTAAAGGGTTTTTTTGGGGGAGTTTTTCCTTATCTGCTGCGAGGGTCCCAAGGACAGAGGGATGTCATATGCTGTAAAGCCCTGTGAGGCAAATTGTGATTTGTGATATTGGGCTTTATAAATAAAATTGATTGAAATTGATTGATCTGTTGTTAGTGCTGTGTGTGATGTGAAACTCTAAACTCAGCTTTAGGTGACTATCAAGTGTGCAGAATGCAGTTAACTTAAAAAGCTCCACAATGAGATGTTACTTCTTAAAATTATGTTTTAGTGTTCAGATGTGTTTCCTTCATCTAACTGTTTTTTTTTTTAAACATTTTTTATTGAATGCATTTAACTGTTTTAAATGCTCATGAAATGAAAAGAAATTGGATTAATCTGTTTTAAGTGTTCAGGAAATGAAAAGAAATGTAATTTATCTGTTAGAAAAAAACGAAATTTTACACCAAGCAAGACCCGATGTCCACTGTAAGGGACATTTGATAAAAAATAAATAAATAACATTCATGATTTTTTTTTTGGCTGTAACATGTTTCTTTCAACTACAATACTTAAACTATCTAAAAAAAATCTAAATATCAAAACCTTTTTTCTTCCGGGTCTCAGGAGGATATGCCACTAAAATCCCCTGAATCTTACACACTGGACCTTTACGTATTTGCATCTTGAGGCCAATTACTTTGCTCCCGGGACCACTTAAGTTGAACAAACAAATTTGATTGTTCTCTTTTTTAAATCTAAAATTTAAAATCTTTACTTACATAGCATACTGCACTGTATAGTGCGTGTCATTCGGCGTGTCGTTTCCTGGAAGCCATTGCAACATATTCCTCAGGTTGACTGAGGTGAAGATCACATTGATGGGGCTGGGAGGAGAGGAGGAGACTGAGGGGAAAGAGAACGAGAATGACAAATGGCTCATTAAATATAAAGTCATGTTTGTTACTACATTTTCTTTAACCAGTTTCTGCTCATGTAGTGCAGTGTTGTTTTGGAGCAGATTTTTTTGGCACTGTTGTTGACTGACTCTTAATCTTCCTCTTGTATTTTACAGTATCACAAAAGTACCTGTTAATCCCTCACATTGTTGTGCAGCTGTTCTACAGGTGGCTGCTCATAAAACACAATAAAATACAACCAGAGTATCTGAATTGATTTAACTTCTCTATGTACATATTATAAAAAGGTGTGCATGGGTCACACACTGATGAAATCTGGTTTCATCCTGAGAACCAGTTTTGTAGGTTACAGACATCTGAATAAATTGAACTTAAATGCCACACTACATACTTCAGTGCCAAATACAGTACACACCCATGTGACCCATTATTGGTCATACTTTACAGAGGCCGTGACACACACGCACACAAACAGTACAGGAGAAGTTAATCATAGCCTTTACAACTGTGTGCGTAGTAACACTTACTGTTTGAGACTTTATGTTTACTTTACATGAATAAATGACTTTTATGTGTAAAGCATGTAACAACACCTTTCCAGCACAGGTGCATAAAACACAATAAATGCACGTGTTTGCTGATAATATTTGCATGAAGCAGGTTGTAATGATGAAACAGTTTCGTAGCTTATTTACTTTGGGTAAACACCATAAAACTACCTGGACAAAAAGAGAGCCGAGTAAATCAGATCTGCTCCACAGTTAGATTCAGATCAGTCTCTGATGTAATGAATCTGCACAATATCTCAACTTGTGTCCTATTAAAAGCCTAAAAAGTAACTTTATAATAGTTTAGTACACAGTTCATATAACGTTAGCTGTTACTTGTAGTCATGGGGATTGGTAAATAATTAATAAAGTAAGACAGAAAAGTAGTCGTCATGTTAGTTGAATGCAGTCCTACCTGTGCAGTGTAGAGCCAACAGGTTCAGAAACAACACCACGGTCCACATATCTGTACGGAGCGCTCATATTTTCACAAGTTGACATGAAACACCAACATCTCCGACCCTCCGGCACCGGCCTTTGGGCTCCGCTGGCTCCGTCACCTCCTGGGACAGATCACCTGTCAACGGGCCGATGTTTCCCCGTACGATTAAAATAAATCACCTGTTAAAGACACTCATGCTGGAGGAGGAAATAAACGAGAGTCGGAGCGGTTGGTATCAGTGACAGAGGAGCGGTAAAGCCGAGACGACTTTAAACAGCCCCTTGCGACAGGTTTCCGTGTAAGAGGAAGGAATGTGACCTCACTTGTTTGTGCACATTACACCTGCGCAGGTGTGTGTGTGTGTGTGTGTGTGTGTGTGTTACGTGATATTACTAAGCCCTGCTCCCGCTGCTGTAGAGTGTAATCTAATTCTGTAATAAAGACAACACTGTGTATAAAACAAACAAAACTCTGAATTAAAATCACGCATTACAAAATATACTTAGGCTACTTAAAGGTACATCACCAAATCTCATCAAGTAAAATGACCCCTATATTGTTAGATTATTATTGAATTATAATCAGTGTGTGATTATTACGGATTTTTACTCCCATTCCTCGTTATTTTTATTCAGTGTAGACACGTTTATCTCACCTTGAGCTTTTAGGGAGTGTTCGTTATTTATGAGGGGCGAAGGAGTGGTGCATAAAGGGGGATGCATGTCAAACATTTTTTATTGTATTATTGTATTGGGGATGGTGTTTTGTTTTTTGTTTTTTAGCTTAAGGGGAGGGGCATACAATTTTAAATGTTTCTATTGATTTTACCGCATATTTTTTTCAAAATGGCCAAAATTACACCATTTGTCATAGCCTTAGAAATAAAAAAAAAAAAAAAGAAATTATTTGTTGGATTTTCAAATTTCCAATGATCCTTGGACACATTGTGTGACACACTGTGGCATTGTGCTGTGTGATAAAACTGAATATATGCAATATTCATGCTGTCTAATCAGCATCTTGATATGCCACACCTGTGAGGTGGGATGGATTATCTCGGCAAAGGAGAAGTGCTCACTAACACAGATTTAGACAGATTTGTGAACAATATTTGAGGGAAATGGTCTTTTGTGTGTATAGAAAATGTTTTAGATCTTTGAGTTCAGCTCATGAAAAATGGGAGCAAAAACAAAAGTGTTGCATTTATATTTTTGTTCAGTGTATATGTATACATATACATATTTTGTCAAAATTGCTTTATTCTACGTCTCATTTAAAATGTGGCCAAAAATAAGCCATTTGCACGAACTGACCAGTATCAACTCTACGATTTCTTCTTCAGCTTTCAACTTTTAACTTTAAAACATCAAAGGATATGTTTCAAAAATCTATAACTAATTTAGGGTCAAGGGAGGGTCATGTATTTTCCACCACTCACTCACTCACACACTCAAGGAGACCCAAGAAAAAATAAATGTAGCTTCAAGGAGAGAAAGAACAGTCCCATAGGATAAATCTTTGTGTAAGCTTTTAGCTTCCTACAACTCCAGCAGAAGGTTTTGTTTACTTTAAGTTAATGTATATCTGAGATAAGATAAGACAGACTTTATTGTCCTGAAAGAAATTTGTCTTGGATACATGTAGTTCTTGCCGTTAAAAGATACAAAAAAGTTCCTACATACAGTTCCTACATACAGTACAGGCCAAAAGTTTGGACACACCTTCTCATTCAATGCGTTTTCTTTATTTTCATGACTATTTACATTGTAGATTCTCACTGAAGGCATCAAAACTATGAATGAACACATGTGGAGTTATGTACTTAACAAAAAAAGGTGAAATAACTGAAAACATGTTTTGTATTCTAGTTTCTTCAAAATAGCCACCCTTTGCTCTGATTACTGCTTTGCACACTCTTGGCATTCTCTCCATGAGCTTCAAGAGGTAGTCACCTGAAATGGTTTTCCAACAGTCTTGAAGGAGTTCCCAGAGGTGTTTAGCACTTGTTGGCCCCTTTGCCTTCACTCTGCGGTCCAGCTCACCCCAAACCATCTCGACTGGGTTCAGGTCCGGTGACTGTGGAGGCCAGGTCATCTGCCGCAGCACTCCATCACTCTCCTTCTTGGTCAAATAGCCCTTACACAGCCTGGAGGTGTGTTTGGGGTCATTGTCCTGTTGAAAAATAAATGATCGTCCAACTAAACGCAAACCGGATGGGATGGCATGTCGCTGCAGGATGCTGTGGTAGCCATGCTGGTTCAGTGTGCCTTCAATTTTGAATAAATCCCCAACAGTGTCACCAGCAAAACACCCCCACACCATCACACCTCCTCCTCCATGCTTCACAGTGGGAACCAGGCATGTGGAATCCATCCGTTCACCTTTTCTGCGTCTCACAGAGACACGGCGGTTGGAACCAAAGATCTCAAATTTGGACTCATCAGACCAAAGCAAAGATTTCCACTGGTCTAATGTCCATTCCTTGTGTTTCTTGGCCCAAACGAATCTCTTCTGCTTGTTGCCTCTCCTTAGCAGTGGTTTCCTAGCAGCTATTTGACCATGAAGGCCTGATTCGCGCAGTCTCCTCTTAACAGTTGTTCTAGAGATGGGTCTGCTGCTAGAACTCTGTGTGGCATTCATCTGGTCTCTGATCTGAGCTGCTGTTAACTTGCAATTTCTGAGGCTGGTGACTCAGATGAACTTATCCTCAGAAGCAGAGGTGACTCTTGGTCTTTCTTTCCTGGGTCGGTCCTCATGTGTGCCAGTTTCGTTGTAGCGCTTGATGGTTTTGCACTCCACTTGGGGACACATTTAAAGTTTTTGCAATTTTCCGGACTGACTGACCTTCATTTCTTAAAGTAATGATGGCCACTCGTTTTTCTTTAGTTAGCTGATTGGTTCTTGCCATAATATGAATTTTAACAGTTGTCCAATAGGGCTGTCGGCTGTGTATTAACCTGACTTCTGCACAACACAACTGATGGTCCCAACCCCATTGATAAAGCAAGAAATTCCACTAATTAACCCTGATAAGGCACACCTGTGAAGTGGAAACCATTTCAGGTGACTACCTCTTGAAGCTCATGGAGAGAATGCCAAGAGTGTGCAAAGCAGTAATCAGAGCAAAGGGTGGCTATTTTGAAGAAACTAGAATATAAAACATGTTTTCAGTTATTTCACCTTTTTTTGTTAAGTACATAACTCCACATGTGTTCATTCATAGTTTTGATGCCTTCAGTGAGAATCTACAATGTAAATAGTCATGAAAATAAAGAAAACGCATTGAATGAGAAGGTGTGTCCAAACTTTTGGCCTGTACTGTATATGCAGTCCATACACAGAGCTGTCGCTGTTCACAATCCCACACACTCAGTACACACAGTACATGTACAGACAGCCATCAGCCAACAAATTGCATGCTTATGCAACAGTTATGTTGAAAAAAAAATGTGTATCTATATGTATCTATCCATAGATAAAGATATATATACACACACACACATATTTACATAGAAGTACACGTTGTATGGTTAAGCTACAGTTCCCATTTATGGTTTAATGGACAAGGGAACAAAAGAGTTTTTAAGTGGTTAAACCTGCACTGGGCGACTCTAAAGCGTCTACCTGAAAGGAGAAGTTGGCACCTATACCTCTACCTATATGTATATGTATATAAGGGTGTGTCTGTATCATGGTCTGTGTACATCTGAATATCTTCTTTGTGTAGCCTGATTTTATTTTAAAAAAATTCACATTCACCAGAGTAAGTACGCCAGGCATCGTTAAATATAGATTATATAAAGTAATGTTGAGTGTGAGCGGTATGGTATATATTTTTGAAAACGTATATTATTCTTATCGTAGGTTATAATTCCCGACGACAAACTGAAGCGGAACTGTGCAGCTTGTGTCTCCGGTGTGACTCCGGATTGTTTTTGCGGTTGCACGTCTCGCGGCGCTTTCATTCTAGTGCCTGTTAGCAGTTAGCTTGTCGGTAGCATTGTGTGCGGCTCCTGGAAGGAGGAACCTGACTGATTTGTGTGATGGTTCGCTAAAAAATTAACACTTTTTAAAGCAAACATGGCGCTGTCGATGGAGACGCAGCTCCAGAGCATCTTTGAGGATGTTGTGGTAATGTGCATCTTTATTAACCGGGGTTAAAGCTAACATTAGTTAGCATGTCACACAGCGTTAGCCTCTGCCGTTATGTGCTCACTCATGAACCTGCTGTGGAAATGAATGATTTCAGTAACATAGCTAGAAAGTGTTTGCTTGTAAATGCAGTTAAGTTACAGCTAAGCATAAATATGTAAACCAACAGCTAAGATTTAAATGTTTTAATCGCTAATGTGACGTTTACATTGCTAAACAATTGGATGTGTAAGACTTTCTGCAATGTGTATTCAGTTTGTTAATTAGCTGCAGCTTTGTGAATGCGCTTACTTGCATGTTCACCTTTACAATGTACCACGTAGAAATGGACATGTGAAAAGTTTGTTTCATTTTCAAAGCGCTTGAGAATTTTTTTGTGGTGCGAAATTAATAGTATTGTTGCTTCAAAACAACAAGTTTGTTGGGGGTTAATTGCCAATATACGCTTTATTTCACCGCAGACATTTTAACGTTATGGTAGAAACAGCACAGGTGTGATCAATCACATTGATGATAGCTGCACTCCACTGAGGGGAGGTGCTTGCATCGTGCATGCAGGCTCAGTTGCAGAGTTTACTGGGACACTAAATTGAACATGTTATCAGTGTCACCTGTGTTCTCCCTAACATGACAAGTCAAAATGTTTGCTGTGAAAATAGTCCAGTAACAGTGATAAGAAGAATCAAGAGAGGGGAATAGTACTAGATAAAGGAAGTATGGTTTTCCCTACAGTTATGTTTAAATAAAATACACTCACCCTAATCTCTACTAACATCAGTGTTACTCTGTAGCAAATTCTGACTTCCCCTGTAAAGAGGCAGCAGAGCATTGTTATTGGCATAACTAAGATCAAGAGGAATTGTAGATAAAGCTACATCACATTTATAATGGTATTTGTATTGAAGGGTAACTGCAAATCATACAGATTTACAGTTGAAACAATACTGTTCCTTCCATTTTTTCTTTCTTAACAAACAACTAACATTGCTAGAAAGTGTTTGCTTGTAAATGCAGTTAAGTTATAGCTAAGCATAACTATGTAAACCAACAGCTAAGATTTAAATGTTTTAATCGCTAATGTGACGTTTTAAATTCCTAAACAACTGGATGGTGTTAGACTTTCTGCAGTGTGTATTCAGCTTGTTAATTAGCTGCACCTTTGTGAATGCGCTTACTTGCATGTTCACCTTTACAATGTACCACATAGTCATGGATGTGAAAAATTTGTTTCATTTTCAAAGCAAGTGAGATTTTGGTGTGATGGTAACATCAGCACAGTAAGGACCAAACTAGTGAATGTGTTTGCTACCAGATTTGACCCAGACCTAGATGCAGAGACTTTATGTGTTTATCTTAAGGAGAAACTAGGGCATGAAGTGAATTGTCTAAACCGTAGATTCAGCTCATTCAGAGTTTCTGCTGAATGTAAGGAGGTAAATGAAATGTATAACCCAGATTTGTGGCCTGATGGAGCATAAGTTCGGCGGTACTATGAGCTGCGTAAGATGACCATAGCTGCTTAAAATACTTATGATGCCGCTAAAGGTCTGGGTCTGCCTACAGTTTCTTTTAACAGGTTCCTAAAGCCATGAACAACGACTGTTCAGGTTCTGTCCTCCAACTGTCGTGGCCTGCGTTTGGGCCAGAGTGCAGGAGATCGAGCTTGCCGCAGAGTTGTTGACAGTCTGCTAGAACACTGTGATACACTGTGTCGTCAGGAGACCTTTTTGTCAAAACAGGACCTTGGACAGTTGAGCTCCTTAAATCCTGACTTCCATGGAGCTGGGGAGTCTACAATCGACCTCAGCACAGGAATAGTCAAGGGCAGGATACCCGGGGGTGTAGCTATTCTCTGGCGGAAACAGCTAGATCCGCTGATAGATGTGATCAGAGTTGGTGTCGATTGGTGCATTGCAATACGGTACACACAGAATAATAGGGAATTAGTGATTATGAATGTATACACACCCTATGATTGTTATCAGAGTGAGGATGATTATTTGAATAAGCTGGTCTTTTGAGTAACAGTTTGTAAGAGTGAACAGCAATAATGTACAATTGCATAATATTTCTCTCCTGTTCAGGTGGGTATGTTTGAAGGCATAAATATTTTCTCATTTTCATTTTTCTCCTTCTCTCCTCAGAAAACTGAGATGATCGAAGAGGCGTTTGCTGGGTAAGATTCCTCCACACACAGGGTCCACACCATTACCATACTGGCGTACAACTGCAGTGTGACGAGTAGACCAAGTGCACACTATTTGACAGTTAACGAGCTGGTTTGTCACACTGGGAGGCCGTTTACACGTACACAGTGATTTTGATAAACGGAGACATCTTCCTTCGTTTGTGCCCTTCGTTTACACGCAAACGGAGATTTCTCCTCTGAAAACGAGTCTTTCTAAAAACTCCGGCCAGAGTGGAGATTTTGGAAAACTCCGGTTGCGCGTTTGCATGTAAACTGAGATAAACGCAGATAAACGGAGTTATAGGCAGCCCACGTCACAGTATGCGACGGAACTTGCGCCTGTGTAAAAAGTGCGACCTATGTTGCTATGGTGACAATGGATACATGGAAGGCTTGAGCTTCTCGTTACACTGCCACCTACAGGTTTGGCATGCTCTTGTGTATATATACACGGGTAAGTGTAAACGAAGATCTTTTTGAAAACGGAGACGGTGAAATGTCCGTTTATGAAAATAGCCGGCAACGTGTAAACGGCCTCTGGATCCGCTGCTAAATTTCAGCGGCATTTATGTCACCACGACCCATACAGACACAAACAAGTCAGAGGACATTGATAAGACAGAGAACAGCTTTATGTCTTTCAGGCTTACATAAAATTAGGTTCTGAACGTTACTGTTCATGCAAGCAATTTATATGACAACTAGAAAAGCTACTGTGGCTTTTGCCCTGTAGGCTGCCTTTTTTTTTTGTCAACTGACAATTACTTGGTTGCTGCCGCTGTCTGACAGATCCATTACACTCCATTTAAACAGCTTGTAGAGAAAAAGGTGTACAGAAGAAGGTGTATGTTGATAAGTTACACACTTTATAATAACAAAGAAAACAATACGTTAACATGCACAGTGTAAAATGAGATGTTGCAGGCTAAAATATCAATTGTGTTGTTGTTTCAGGATGTTTATGGACACTCCAGAGGATGAGAGGACTAAACTGATCAGTTGTCTCGGAGCCTTCAGACAATACTGGGGGACACTACCACAGGTGTCTAAATACACAGTGACACACACATGCCTGCACAGTAGATGATAAATGGATTGTGTTGTCAATTCCCTCCATGTCTCTCTGCAGGAGTCTCATGAACAGTGTGTGCAGTGGATAGTACGGTTCATACACAGCCAGCACAGTCCCAAAAGGATCTCCTTCCTCCACGACTGCCTAGCAATGGCTGTGGAAACCAATCTGTTACCACCCAGGTACGCACACACACGCTCACACACACTTAACAAAGGCCTACAGTATGCATGAATTTACACTCTGTTATCCAGTTAATTTGTTTTATGTTTGCCAACCAACCAGACTCAATTTAAATAAACTGGAACATTGTCATTGTGAAACACGCTTCATTCAAAGTTGATAGAAACAAAATAAAACTCACAAAAAAATGTCTTGGTTCCTCTTTCCACTATTCCAACAATCACCAACTTTGGTTTGGTTGAAATAAACCTTTAAATGTGAAAATATGCTGGCTCTATGCATGCCTAAATTACAGTTTAGTCTGGAGTCTGGTGAGTTTGGCGATGGTGATTTCGGGGCTGTTTCTGGTCAAACAAAAAGGTCAATCTCTGTTGGGATCCTTTCCATAATGTTGTCAGACACTTAGAGTAATAATGTGAGCCTGTCAGTAGGGATAGGAATCGTGAATCAAATTGTCCAGTCCATTGAAATCAAGCCTCCCAGTTTATCAATTCCTTTTGTCAATGCTGGCATGTCTTTTTTAATAGTTGCACAAAACAGTAACATCAAACTTATGCATCTACACTGCTGGAAACAAAGCAAAAACAAGTCATGGTGGAGAGGAGAAAACGTTCCAAAGCATGGCTTCATTTGCTGAAGAAAGATGACAACAGGCTACCTGTTATATCTGTGAAATGATTCTTTTAAGTAAGGGCAGTTTACTGAAACAAATTTCTAGGAAACACAGGTTTAAATTCCAGGAAATTCAATGTTTTTGACTCTCTCTGCATGAGTGCCTCTTCTTCCCAGCCGAGCAGCACGTCTGTTACAGAGAGTAAATGATTGATTGATGAATAATTAATCCAAAGTACATGTTATTTTACTGCTCAGTCCTCAAACAGAATACTCTGCCTTCTGTCCCAGGCCTGGCAAAGAAACAAGAAATGAACCTTATTCTCAACTTCATCTAAATTATACAACAAACAAATTCTGTCCTCATCTGGGGTGGCGTTAACCCTTCCAGTCTCTGAGGCTAATGGTAACGTTCTTGAGTGCAACTGTGCACACAGGGATCTTTGTCTTTTGTTTAGATTATACTTCACATGAGGTTCCACATTGTTGCTAATATTCTATGTTATAGTAATAAGAGCACCATGCAGGCAGGCTGTGCTTGACTAAGAAAACTTCAATGAAAATGAACGTTGTACAAATATGTTTTTATTTAATCTATTTAGATCATGTTTAAAACATTTGTGCTGAAGCTGATACCAGCGCATACCTTTTTTTTTTTTTTCCAAACAGAAAATTAATAAGGAGTCGATGAAGAATCGGGCTGATAAGCAGACTCGATAATGCCATTGGAAGCAATAAAAGCTTATCAATTCCCATCCCTACGCCAGTACTAAAAACAAACACTTTTAGGGCCTGTACACCGTACGACGGTTGGAAAACGTGAGGTCGGGCGCTGGGCGCTACTCTTGTGCCTACTCTGTGCCAACTTTAAAGAGTGCGGAGGCAGTTTGCGCCTGACATTGCTGAGCAACCATAACAAGCACCATATCACAGCCTACATCCCAGAAATCCTGAGTTCAGAGCTGATCATCTTCCAGGTTCTTCAGTGTGTATTATGCCTAAAATTTTGTCCGTGAAACAGATGTAAAGCTCTGGGCAGCTCTGCACTAGAATAATCAACTTCTCCATATTTCCCACACACTTAATATTTACAGATGAAATGAAAGCCGTCTGCTGGCTGTGATTGGCTGTTCCTTTTACTTGACATACGGTGACGGTACTTGACATAAATTTTTCCATTTACTCACTGAGACACAAAAACAATGATAGAATAGGGTTCAGGGTGAAAAATACTGAAATTATTTGACTCTTTAAAGTTGTGAAATAATACAAACACACTTTTTGTACTCTTATTTATGACTATGTCTGTCAGTTGTCTTAATCATCCATCTAATGAATCTTTGTCTGTCTGAAGGATGGTGTGTGTAGCTCTGATAAGCTCGGACAGTTTGGAATGGGAGAGGACTCAGTTGTGGGCGTTAACTTTCAAACTGATTCGCAAGATCATTGGAGGGGTGGACTACAAGGTCTCACACACACTCACTCACACACTCACACAAGCACAGCTGAGACAAATTATTGACAAACTCAATGATAAGAAGCTCTTGAATAAAACATTTTCAGATATCCATTGCCCTAATAGGCATCCTTACAGATGTCAAATGCTATTTTCCATCACTGGATGTGTTTTCATGTAATGTGTGTGTGTGTGTGTGTTTCAGGGTGTTCGAGACTTGTTAAAAGCCGTGCTGGATAAAATTCAAACCATTCCCACCACTGTCAGCTCAGCTATCGTCCAACAGCTTCTGGCTGCCAGAGAGGTCTGTCTTTAACTTATTAAATGCCATTATTTGTGATTTATCTTTTGCTCTGATGGCTTGTTGGCTTGTAGCACACCACATCTATGGATTTAATGCTGTGTGTGCTCCAGGTGGTAGAGTACATCCTGGACAGAAATGCCTGCCTCCTGCCAGCCTATTTCGCCGTCACAGAAATCAGAAAGCTGTATCCAGAGGGACAGCTGTCACACTGGGTAAGCTCATGTTTCGTGTGTATGTGTGCAGCTGTGTCATGTGTATCTAACAAATCTTTCAATTTCATTTTCTTTATTTCATTTGGTCTCTGCAGCTTCTTGGCAGTTTGATATCAGATTTTGTGGACAGTTTTAGACCCACTGCCAGAATCAACTCTATCTGTGGTAAGAGACACATAAACACACCCACGCCGGAAGCTGACAAAATATTGATCAAACAGATACCAAGTTTTCAGTTTAGCTGTGCTCAAGGGTTCTTGTGTTTGGCAAAGTCGTTGTCATGCTTCGCCGAGGCTTTAATGAAGTCCAGTCCTTCTTGAAACCAAAGTGTCACCTAAAGGGGAAATCTGATCTGAAGGGGGAAAGCTGAAAATGTAGACACAAGACACACAAATAGAGCTGATCAATGCCACAGATTTATGATTTAAAGTCGTTGAGTGAAGTACACAGTTCAACTTGTTTACTGTATGTGCAGTGTGATTGTTCAGTAATTCATGGTGTGAATGTGTCCACAGGTCGGTGCAGCTTGTTACCAGTAGTAAATAACAGTGGGGCCATCTGTAACTCCTGGAAATTAGACCCCACCACTCTTCGCTTCCCTCTGAGAGGCATGCTGCCGTTTGACAAGGTATCATATCATCATGTGCACTACACAAACATTTACACACATGGTTATCATGACACGAGAATTAAAACTTTGATATACTAGTAGTTAGGGGTGTGCCATATCATCTCATTCATGATATTACCGGTATATTTTTTATGATTTGAAAAATTCATATCGTGATACTCGCGATATTTCGGCTTGTTGATATATTGACGTCACTCTGTTACCCACGGCAACAACAAGCATGGCTGAAGGCGAAATTATTACGGACTCCGTGGTTCGTAAAAGAGGAGCAGCTTCAGTAGTGTGGAATAAACTGCGGCGTCCTGAATGTTTTATGAACAGCCCCGGACTTCTTAGACTCTTTTAGTGACTTGCAGCTCAGAGGGAACTCATTCAGCGGCTCCTCTGGCAGCAGCACAGCGTCTCTCCCTGTCCTCTCTCACAAGCTTCTCCAAATCCATGATTCAATTTCATTTTCAATGTAAACCTTTTTTAATCAGCACTGTAGACTATGCTGTTGTTAGATGTTCGAGTCGTGATGCGTAAAGATTAACAGATCATAGGTTTTGTTCCTTGACAACTGTTTACAATATCATATTCTCCTTTATAAAGATAGGCTGCACAGTATCAAGTGAGATATAACCACCGTATTTTTTTTGGATGTATCACACTAAGGCCGTATGGTGAAATCTGAGAAATTTATTTAACCAGTCAACTGAGAACAAAAAGAACAGCCACCAGAAAGCAGAACTGTGCTCTACAGCAACAGGATGAGTTTAAGCAATCATATCCTTGCTTCACAAACTGCTGTTTGACTGTTGATGTGTTTCTTGTTTACATATTTCACTGAGAAGATGAATGTTGCCGCACCACTGATTTCCGTGAAGCAGGAGGATTTTCCAGTTCCATAATTGTTATTCTGTCACTTCCGACAGGGGCCATAGTGTCCCAAAAAGTACAGCTGCAGGCTAATAGTAAACTACACTATGTCATCTTTTAAGTGGTTTTTTTTTTCTTAGGGCACGTGCAAGTAGGCGGTGGTTTTGATTGATTTTCGATTTAGAGTTGAAATTGTTACACCCCTATAAGCCACAAAAAAGGGGATCATTTTTCACTCTATTTTTTAAATTACCCGCACACAGTGTTGGTACAGAACAAGTCACTGGGTGCATGCCTCCAGGCACGTTATGGGTTTGCTGCTTTAGAGAATGTGGTAACAGCCCATACACTGCATAAAATCACTATATATCACTTTAACTCACAGCATTCACTTGTCTTTATCTGGACACATTTTCCCCACAAATGCAACATACTAATGTTTTAAGCACGAGCCTATAGCATTTAACATTGTATAAATTAGCCTCGTAGATAGCGATCTTTTCCTCTTCTCATATAAAACCAGGGACAACAGCAACATTTAACAAAGGTAACGTAACATAATTCTGCTCCATAACAACTCAAAAGGTTCACTGACAAAACAACTGTCTCACACTAAAAATGTTTTCCAAACAAATACAACATGCTAACGTTATTAGCACAAGCCTTTTACATTTTAGCCTGGTGAATAGTGAAAATTTCCTCTGCTCATATGAAGCGTATGAAGCTAGGATTCGTTTCCACTGAGGGAAATGGTTGCAGCTTACAAAAACAGACAGGAGGTCTGCGTCGCCACAACGTGTAGGTACGTTCCTGGGGAGGTGCACGTCAAGCTACAGCACTAAAAAGTGTTGATGGAGAACTTGTGAGTGAGTGAGTGAGTGGGCCGGAGCTGTGCGGAGAGTGTGAGAGAGGAGAGATGCACGCTGGTGTGTGTCACATAACGCAACTTGACCCTATATTGATATAAATGATGTTGTCTAAATTTCTATCGTTATATCGCCCACCCCTAGCAGGAACTCAGTACTGAAGCTCCACTTCTTGATCACTACTGTGCAGACTCTGGCTCCAAATGTTGAAGATGGCAGTGGCCTTATTTTGGCTTCATTTTTGTACAGTGGGAGGAAGTAGTGATGAGTTGTCCATCATTATATACAGAGTATGGTGCAGCCTTGGGTTGAAAATCTGATTGTAGATCTATGTTTTGTAACTTCGTACTTCCAATACTGTCAAATGTATAAGTAAAGAAGGGCGTATGTTTTTTAACTTGTGGTACTGAAGAAATATTCATACTTTTGACAACCTTATTAATCACACGCGCACACAAAAACAGTAATAAAATGTTATGCTTTGTTGTGTTTTTCTGTATGTAGGACCTGTTCGAGCCACAGACGGGCCTGCTGCGCTATGTGTTAGAGCAGCCATACTCAAGAGAAATGGTGTGCAACATGTTAGGACTCAACAAGCAGGTATGACAACCTCTTCTACGTTTTGCTCCTTTGATTCTGAACCACCTGTCCTCACTTTTCCTGTCACTTTGACTCTCTTTATTGACTACCCCCTTTCTTTTTAATTTTTACCACCCACCTCTCTGCTCCCGTTTCCCCCTACCTGCTCCTGCTGTTCCTTTTTCCCGTTGTCCGTGTTTTTCCTTGTTGTTCTTTTTCTTTTTGACTTATTCCTCTACCTCGTCCTGTTACCCTCTTTCTGTTCATTTTTACCTGGTTCTTTTCTTTATATTCCTTTCTGTTTTATTTCCTGTTCCTCCTCTCCACCCTCATCTCTTTTGACACCCCTCTCCTCCCTTGTTGCCCTGGTAACACAGCTATATAAGACCATATGTTAAGCAAGCCAATGCTGTGAGCTTGACCCATAATGCACTGGTGTTAGTTTTCCCTGTTGGGTTCATGCAGTTTCAACTCAGTCCAGCTCACTGAGCATCACAGACACAGTTTGACCAGCTAAGCAATAATCATAACCAGAAATCTTTGAACAAATTACCCAGAATCCAGTTTGTCTGTTTGAATTGGCTGAGTTGATGCTAACTGTGCTGAACGGACAGCGAACAACCTAGCTCCTTAGTCACCACTTTCTCTCTCTGTCTCTCCTTTTTTCCCCTTTCTGTTTCTTTCTCCTTCTTTCTTTGTTTCTCCCTCTTCCCTCTCTCTGTCTATCTTTCTCTTGTCCTCTGGTTGTGTGTTGTGTTTGTCTGTCTCTCTGCCATGCGCTCTCTAGACTCTGAACATTGCCCAGGTATGTCGTTGTTCCTCTTCCTGGTCACCTGACCTGCCAACTAACCAGCCCATTGGACGCTTAGCTTTTTTTTTTTTTTTTTTTTTTTTTTTTTNTTTTTTTTTTGACAAAAAAAAATGGGAAACTGGACCAAAAAAAAGAAAGAAAACTTGAGATGTGGTGAAGAGAAATGCTACAGAGCTTGAGATTGTCACAGCAGGGCTTCATAGAGATTGCCAAATAAATACAGAGCAGGTGCACAGAGAGACAAGCAGGTAGATAAAGGATGATAGAGAGGCGGCAGCAGGCTGATCGATGGACAGACAGGCAGTTTGTGTATGGATCATTAACCATGGATGGTTTGTTCAAATAGTAAGGTTGTGTGCAAATTAAATTTTCTGTTTGCTTCCTTATCTCTGCGTTTATCAGGATGAGTATACAATACAATACAATACAATACAATAAAATTGTATTGTTTGAAGCCACAGATGGCGATGGCCAGCATTGAGTATCTGTATATCAGACAACATTCTGGGCAAAACAAGTAGTAAGTGATCCCTCCCTAAATAGAATTGCCTTCTTATTATAATGGTGCAGGATTTAATTAAAGAAAATAAGCCAAAACTAACTGGTCATCACAACAAATCCTTGCAGGGAGGGAATAGTAAGTCAGCTCTGTTAGTGTTTTACTGCTTGGATTTATACTCTGTAATGCTTTAGAAACATTGGATTTGCTTGTTATGTTAATGTTTATTATCTCTACTTTATCTACTGATATTGTTATATGTGTAATTCTTTGTTTTCGTTGTTATTTGCGGTGTTGTGGATCTTTTGAAATGGGGTTGTATGAGGCAGTTATCCATCAAAGAAGCAGACAGGAGTACTATCACAGAAGCTAAGCAATGTACCACTGTGGACCTAATAAAATCAATAATAGTTTAAAAGTGTACGCTATATATAGAGTATTGTCACTCCTTCACCTTGATGCCGACAGCCCGCTCCAACAAGGAAGCTGTCAATGCCTTAAGTTCCCAATCTGTGCTCTTGTCAAAGCCACCAGACTCCATTGACAAAAACAGTAATTTTAGCGTTGACCACACGAACTGCTGCTGCCTCTATCAGTTAGTTTGTCTGTGTTATTATGTGACTTTGGTGAATCCAAACTAACCATTTAAAACAACAAAGTGACATCATAACACAAACAAAGCACCTCTTGTGTTAAGTATGTTAAATTTGTGTTTTTCTAAATGGAGTCTGGCTTTGAAGAGAACAATATGAAGGCCACAGTTCCCTGTTCCCGTGTCTGGCTGACAGCAATGAAACGTGCTGAAATTATTCTAAATATACTATACTCTTGAACCTGCTTCTGTGGCGATGCTTCTGTCTGTTTTTCAAAACTGGAGGCGCAACCACCGCCATCTACTGTATGTAACACACTGACTGTGGATAAATGCCTCATACAACCCCACATCAATAGATCCAAATTACCTCTTTAACGTCAGCTGAGCTAACTGACACCATCATACAGTTTTTATTCCAGACTGAGACCGCCAGAGTCTCTGAACTGTAGTTTTTGTCATCAGAAAACAGTGTATTCAGTCCCAGCCTGGTCTGTGGTTCCAGAGTTTTTCTGATTTAAACCCTGCTGTTGACATTTCAAGTCCTGCTGCACTGCATGTATGAATGTAGTCTGGTCCTTGCCTGTTGTTAGCAGGGTCCTCTTGTGTCTGACCTTTTGCTGCTTTCTGTTGTGCTGACCTGGGCAAAATCACTCGATTTAGACTGAACAGTGGTCTTGACTCGTCATTATGCTTTGCAATTGAAGTACACTACAATAGCCACAGGAAGACCAGCTCTACGTCCCTGTCAGCAAGTCTACAGTGTATTTATTTTAGGTCAGGATCTCATTGATTTTCTGATTGTCATGTCTTCTACTTTGACTCTAAGCAAACTTTTTATGCAGCAGTAAATTAGTGAACCTTATTCCTACGTATGCAGCCTGTGCTGTCCAGTTAATTAAATGCATTTAGAACATGATAAAGGGTCCTTAAATTAGCAGTATGTAATTTGTTATGTTCATGCTCTGCTAACTTCATTTTTCATTCCTTTATAAACCTATCCACTTTCTAAAGAGTACCTCTTTTGTCCTCTCTTTCCAAGTTATAGATGGAGTGATATTTTTGTAATTACAAAGTTTGAGCAGCAGCGCACAGGCTTAACTCACAAGTGCACAGGCAGCTTAAAAACTAGAAGACATGGCAAAGTGTGGATAACAAAGCTAAATGCTCCCTATGGCAGTTCTTTGTTCTGTGTTTTTGGCGAGTGTTTTGCCCAGGTTGGCTGATTCTGATTGGCTGTCTGAGTGGATGACTGAATTCTGACCTGTGTTGTGTGATGTTCAGTGGTTGACACGTGGTTTCTTGTGATTTCTTTTTTCCCCTTCCGGTTTATACCTTATGCATTGTTTTTTTGTAGCAACAGCTTCTCTGCCCATTTATTTTAAACTAGACTTTAATTTGCGGATCAATTATAGACATGATTGAAGAGGTCCTAAATGGAAAGGTTAAACTGGTGTCACTTTGTCAAGCATCTATGCCGTTCAATCATTATAGTTTGTTAAAGGAGCTGTATGTTACATTCAGAGCATTAGTATGGCAGCAAATCAGTATTTCCTGGAGTAGTGGCAGAAAATGAAATCACGCCCACTCTATGTGTGGTGTTACCTGAGATTCTCTATTCATTGTTTTATTTGATGCCCTGGCTGGATGCAAGTCCATTGTGCGTATAGCTAACCGCTGCTGCTCTGTACTGGACTCATATGTTGGTTGCCTCTGATAATGGAACAGCGTCACTGGGGAATCATTGCGCCCACCCCTTGTTGCCTCCTCGTTAACACTGTTATCTCTGTCAGCACTGTTGCTGTTGTTAGGACTGGTAGCTGCTAGCCGCCAGCTCAGCCACCTCCATGTTAAGAGCCCTGTGTAGATGACCTGGGAATCCTAAATACTCAGCTTAGGTGGTATGTAACTGTTCATACCTTCACCAGGGTACACTGTATGATTTCCAGTTTAATAAGTACATGAAAGAAACTCGCAAAATGTCAAAAAACATATCTTTCTTTATCTATTTTCTTTATTAAACAGAGAAATACAACCATTCACTTTTCGGATTCAAGTTTCTCTCTGTCACAGATCTACGCCATGCTTAATTGTCTCAAGTTACAATTAAACACTCTTAGTTTAGTTAGTCAGCCTATTGTTCCAACAACCACCAACTCTGGTTTGGTTGAAATAAAGCCTCAATTAACAGGTAAATGTGAAAATAAGATGTTTCCCTCCCTGTGGTCTCTCCGTCCCCTCTGCTGTTGCAGGCATGACAGGGCCGGGTATTTACATCGGTCCTGTTACAGTAAAATTTCAATTAGTAGCCGGATCTATTATTTGCTTAAATCACTGAGAGCGTTACGACGCTCTTTTTACAGCACTTGAGGATTACGACACCAGACATAGTGACCTAACACCACTTTATCTTGTTAAAACAATCCTCACAACTTGGATTTATTTTTATGAAAAACCCATTTGATTATTTTCACCAATGGACTCTTACAGATTAAAGGAATAGGAATAACTTGCCGGGTAATCAAGGAATGGACACATTCTGATTTTATGACAGTTTCAGAGAAAGGGAGTCGCCTTTTTTTCCCCGTCATACCAGTAAATTTGAACGAATTACAATCTTCTATGATGCTCGTGGTTTCAGTAAAATAAACTGTGATTGAATTGTGGAGAATCCAACCAAGCTAACAATGTGTAGCATCTCCATACTGACAGAGGTTTAACATTTATGCTCGATCTAAACAGCTAACTAACATCAGCTCCAGTGGGTAGCCAACAACCTGGTTTTATACATCCAAAGAACTTCTAAAAAAATGAACTTGCAACCAAACCAGGCGTCTAATTAAGACAAGTTTTTATTTGTCAAAATGTGTAGCTGCACCGGGCTAGTTAAAGGGTATGGGCGTTAAATTGGGACTAGGTTTGTTACCTCCGCCAAGGAGGTTATGTTTTCGCCAGCGTTGGTCTGTTTCTGTTTGTTTGTTTGTCTGCAAAATAACTCAAAAAGTTATGAACGGATTTTGATGAAATTTTCACAAAAGGTGGATAATGGGTCAAGGAACAGATGATAAAATTTTGGTGGTGATCGGTTGAAGCAAAGTGGATAAAATAATAAAAACATAACCTCCTTGGCAGAGGTAATAAAGTCTATCGTCTGACAGCCTCAGCAGCAATTCCAATTTCTAAAGACGGTGAAAATAGCGCCATCTGGTGGCCGGAAAGCACATCTAGTTCTACTTGCTAAATATTGTTGTAATTCTAAAGTTGAAATTAATGTTCTGTGTTGGAAAAAAAGAAAGTGAAAAATACAAAAATAAAACATTATATTCTGTGTTGGTACAAAATAAAAACCAAATAAATACACCACAGTGTCTCCATGGTGAAGGCATATATAACCTAATAATGATAGTAATACAAATAACCTAATTGTGATGCAGGCTGCAAAATCTGATGCAGAGGGGGAGGGAATATCACCTACTTGGCGGAGGTCTGCACTCTCTGAGTGCTTTTCTAGTTATTGAGGTTTTAAGGGTATCTTTATCTCCACTACTGGCACTCAGCTCAGCTGCCTGTTGCACCACACTGACCTCTGGAGGTGCCTGATGAGCACTGCATACAAAATATCCACAGTACAGCCTCTCCGGTATGAGGTTAAAGATGAGCGTCTTTATTTTTGACAGTATCAAACATAATACTGTCGGGAATTTTAAATACCCTGGTATACTGTAATGCCGTGATGCCGCCTAAGCCTAATACATATGCTCTGGATATCATATAGAGCTCATTTAAAACATTATTAGCTTGTAGGATAAAAGGTTTACACAGATTAGTAATTATTAAGATAAAATCTACTACTGAGAGCGGCATCTCAAGCCACAACTAACAGTGTGACCCTGAAAAACACAGTCTGTAATGAGCTGTCAGTGGCAACAGTTGGTAACTTGTAGTGATCACAATGAGTTTGAGATAAATACTAATTTGGTAAAAAATGTATTTGCTTTTGATATTATATCTGTTGGCCTGAGTTGGTATGTTTGTTTGTATGAGAGGTAGGTTAAAAACCAGCCGCTGGTGTGGTTTTACTGTTGCTGGGACACAGGCTTTGGGATGTAACTAGGTAAGCCACTGGGCTGATTTCTTTGTACTGTAGACGGATGGTTTGCCTGTGGATCCTTTCCTCTTTCTCTCTCCTTTCCTTTGTTTTTCTCTTGCCCTCTCTCTTTCTGTGTGAGCATGTGTGTGTGTGAGTGTGTGTTTGGTGGCAGAGGAAGAGAAGTGACGGTCAGCAGCCTCACAGCTCCTCTTCTTCCTCCCAATCACACCACCTCTCCACCTTCCTGAGACTGGTTAGCCTGCATGCAGGAATGTGTTGCACTATTTGGTTTGGTGTGGTGTTTGATGCCGTGTTGTGTTGTTCTGTGTCATATTGTGCTGCTCTGTGCTGTGATGTGTAGTTTCCTGCTGTGTTGTGACCCAGTTGTGTGAAAAAGTCCTACAGTGGTAGCCACTGCAGAGATCCACACTCCTTCTGTCTGTCTGGTGGGTGAAGTTTCCCATCATGGGTTAATAGGAAGATGTCAGTAGTTTTTAATATTTCCAAATCTTTAAAAAAAAAAAAAATCAACAAATGACAAGACCAGTATCTTGGAACTATGAATGTTTTACATGCAACCCAACAGTTGAGTTCTATAGATGATGCTTCAGTTCATTGTTGGTGTAATGGTTCCATATTCACAAATAAAGTTATCTTCATGGTACGCTGGCTCCTGCCTGTGCAGAAGAGTCCATGTGGCCCATGTTTGAACATTTTACTACATAGCCAGAGGTCAGGGTTTATATTGTGAGGCAGAAACCGTGCCGTTAATCATTCACCAATATGGGCTTTAAAGGGATAGTTCCGAATTTTTAAAGTGGGGTTGTATGAAGTACTTATCCACAGTGGTGGAGATGGTGGTGAGCACGCCCCCAGTTTGAAGAAGCAGGCAGGAGTACTGCCACAGAAGCTGAGCAATGTAACTGCTGTGGACAGGGGACAGCAAAAACTCACTATCAGTTGAAGTGTGCACTATATTTTGAATATTTTCAGTGCTTTATGTTGCCATCAGACAGCCCTCTCTGACAGGAAACTGAACTGAAAGTGACACGTATTTATGCTTTCTTCAAAGCACAGCTGCCCCCAATAGTCGACCAGAAAGGTCATTAGTTGGCAAGATTTCATTGGTTGCTTAGTCGCAGAAAAATCAAACAATCAAGCTGCATCGCGTCAAAATAAATCAAAACATCCTCTAATTTCCAGGGCTGGTACCTGCGGTTATTCCACAGGCTAGTTAATAACATGTCGGGCAGGAAATCCAAAGTGTGGGATCATTTTGAGAATGTGAAGGACCAACCCAAGGTGATATGTAAACTCATCTTCATTGGTCGACTACGTCATTAACAGGCGGCTCACTCAGTGTGTGACGTGCACTTGTAGATAAAATATATGCCTATATTAATGAAGGTTCATTAGTACGGTTTTGTATTTCTCTGTAATGTAGCACAGTGTTAACAATGTTACTGATACTATTCTTTCTCACACCTTCAACTCAAACCATTGTGTTGCCCCGCCCAAATTATAACATTTAATAATTAAGTTAATATCATAAACATGTGGGCGACTAGTCGACTAATGGCCCTAAATGACGACTGTTGGCCGACTAGGAAAATTCTACCGGTTGAGGCAGCAGTAGACCAGCAACTCCTGTGTTCAACAAGTTTTTGTCAAAGGGTTCTGGCTTTGAAGAGAGCAATTTAAAAGCTTGAATTCCCTGTTGGAAAGTGCTGTCTGATGGCGATGTAAAGGGGTGAAAAGTCTCTAAGTACAGCATACACTTAAACTGATATTGATTATTTTAAGAAATTTTTTGGGAGGCTAAAATAGATTTTGCTGCTGCCCTCCTGTCTGCAGCAGTACATTGCCTAGCTCGCGTGTCAGTACTCCTGCCTGCTCCTCCAAACTGAAAGCGTAGTGACCACCATCTACAGTAGATAATACACTGACTATGGAGAAGTACCTCATACAACCCCACTTCATAAAATCCAAACTACCCCTTTAAAAAATAAAAACCTGACTTCCCTTCCCTATCCGCCTCCCTGCCTCCCCCTGTCTCTGTACTCCCCCTCAGCCATTTTTTCTGACTTGATTCCCTTCCCTCCTTCCCTCTTTTCTCCCCTCGTTCATCAAAAGGTTCACATATTATGTACAGTTCAGTGCTAATTTGCTGTACCTAAAGTCTCAAATATCATAACTACCCATGAGTACATGAACCTTATTTTGTAAATGGTTCACTCACTTCATGTAAACCCTTGGTGTAAGATTGTAGAAACCTTTTGCGTGCACTGGAGCTGCAGCAGAACTTTGACAAAAAGGTTTAAATTACAACCTGGCATATTGCAGGAGCTATTTGGACACTTAAATTTAGCAGCTGTTGGTGCATATTAACATCAAAATAAAATGACCAGGACATTTGCAGATAAAGGTAAATGGTTTGCCCAGCTGACAGAGGCAGGAAGGAGGTGCTGTGCTGCATGGAGGTGATGGGAGAAGTTTTAAATGTCAATTTGTAAAAACTGTGTCAATTAACATGAAAATGTGTATGTGAAGTAATTAAACTGTGATCTTCTCCACATTCTCTCCCTCCCTCTGTCTCCTCCCTTCCTTTCCTTCTGTCTTTTCACGTCTTTTCCCTTTTCTTTTTCTGTCTCTTTCCGTCTTTCCCTTCTTTTCTCTGTTTAACGTCCTCTCTCTCCTGCCCACTTTTTTCTTTATCCTTTAACACTCCCGTCCTCCCCCGTCAGCATAAGCAGCGTTGCCCGGTGCTGGAGGAGCAGCTGGTGGACCTGGTGGTGTACGCCATGGAGCGCTCCGAGACCGAGGAACACTTTGACGCCGACATCGGAGGAACCAGCCAGCTGTTGTGGCAGCACCTCTCGTCACAGCTCATCTTCTTTGTGTTGTTTCAGTTTGCAAGCTTCCCTCACATGGTGCTGTCGTTACATCAGAAGGTAAGAGGAAGGAGAGGAGCAGAGGAAGGAAGGGTTAATGATCCTTATAATTTGTAACGTTTGGGCCAAAGAATGTGCGCTCCCTCTCCGTGGACTACATGTGCCAAAACTTCTAAGATTTCATTTTGAATGGTGTCAGACATGCAGTTGTCTCTTTGCCAAAGTCATTCACATCCCCTGGGCAAATCATACGTCTGCTCGTCACCAACTCTATCATAACCTGCCATAAAACTACATCTGACGGCTGCACCCCCGCATTGGAAGTCCCTCATGTCCAAGATATTTTATGGATCTAAATAGAAGCGCCAAAACTGTCAAAATGGGAATTTTAGGGCCTTTCTTGGCCGGTTCAGCCGCTCCACACCATTGATTAGCTTCCCCTACTGCACATGTCTCCTCAAGTGTAGCTGATCCAAACCCCTTGCCCTTACCACCTCGGAAAATTGTAGATAAAAACTAATTTAAGTCAGATTTTCAGTGGGTGTTTAATGATCAAACAGGTATCAGCTGATGTACCGATCTTTGTTGAGTTTCTTTCTCTCTTTCTTTATAGCTTGCAGGTCGAGGTCTCATTAAAGGCAGAGACCACCTGATGTGGGTTTTGCTGCAGTTCATATCAGGGAGCATCCAGAAGAACGCTCTGGCCGACTTCCTGCCTGTAATGAAGCTCTTTGACCTGCTTTACCCAGAAAAAGAGGTACGCTTCTGCCAAGAAGCCGTGTTGGTTTACTATGATCATTATTACTCGTGCCCCATTGTGTGCTCACGAGTGTTTTTACTGTCTGTAGTAATGGTAGAAGTTTTTTTCTGTAAGTAACAATTTAAGAGGCAGTACCATCAGACTCATCAGTGTTTTCTCTCCCACAACAGTGCATCCCAGTTCCAGACATTAACAAGCCCCAGTCGACTCATTCTTTCGCCATGACCTGCATCTGGATCCACCTGAACCGCAAAGCTCAGAACGACAACTCCAAACTACAGATACCCATACCACACTCTCTGAAACTACATCATGAGTACGTACCTTTGAAATATTGGACCCTGATATACATACTTTACATCAATAACTACTTCATGTGTACACCAAAAAACAGCACCCAGTTAACAGTTGAATAAAACCTGCTGCCCTCTGTCTTGTCTGTCAGGTTTCTCCAGCAGTCGCTGCGCAACAAGACTCTGGGCATGTCCGACTACAAGATCGCCCTGCTGTGTAACGCCTACAGCACCAACTCAGAGTGCTTCACTCTGCCGATGGGCGTCCTGGTTGAAACGATCTATGGAAACGGATCGATGAGGATAAACCTACCTGGCACCAACTGTATGGCGTCAGGCTCTGTCACACCGCTGCCCATGAACCTGCTGGATTCACTCACAGTGCATGCAAAGATGAGGTAACAGAAGCAAAGGATGTAGAGATGTGTTAAAGGGTAAATTCAGTGTTTTTCAACCTGGACCCATTTTTCCAATGTTTTTGTGTCTAAGTGACTAATGAGAACAGTTTTTGAAATTGGTCCAGTATTGAGCGAGAGGGCTGCAGTCGACAGCGGCAAAACGTCCATTAAATGTCCAGTATGTAGGATTTAGAGGACTCTATCGCCAGCGTGGATATATAATATTCATAACTATGTTTTCATCAGCTTACAGTCTCCTTCAAATAAGAACTTTTGTTTCATTTACTTAGAATGAGACGTTTATCTACAAATGGAGTGTGTCCTCTTCCATGGGTCTTGTCATGTTGCTCTACAGTAGCCCAGTATGGACAAATCAAACACTGGCTGTAGAGGGGCTCTTCGCATTTTCCCGTTGGCCACCATAGTTCTACTACACACTTGGTACATGGGCAGGTTTTCAGTTCTGCAACCTCATCGCAAGATGCTACTAAATCCTCCACACTGCACCTTTGTAAGTGCTTGTTTTTGCCACTGATGGGCTCAGATTGTTATTATCCCTACAGAGAAAGACCTCTTTGTTAACGATTAGGATCCTTCTTGTTTTACCAGAAACAGCCCCAAAAATGCCACAGACAAATTCATCAGACTCCATTTTAAGAAACAGTAATTTTATCATCATAAAACACACCCAATTTAAAGCCTACAGAAACAAATAAAGTTCAGAAGTGTCTTGGTTTGTCTTTCCACTGCTCCAGCAATCACCATCTCTGGTTTGGTTGAAATTAGGGCTGGGCGATATGGACAAAAATCCATATCTCGGTATTTACAGGCTGACTGGCAATACACGATATATATCTTGGTATTTTCTACGAGAAAATTGTCCGCGTTATATACCTTACTATGATCCACCTCACACAGCAACTAGCAGTGCAGCGCTGTACTGCATCTGTGCTGCTGCGGTAACTTCATTCATCTCACAGAGTGATTTAGAGTAGCATGTGCAACATACACGCCGATGTCACACTGTAGACTAATGAACAGACAGGTTAAACAGAGGAGCAGCTCTGTGTCTCTCTGAATGTTGATGGAGAACTTGTAAATTAATGAGCTGAGAGGAGAGATGCACACTGGCCCCTATATCAATATAAACGGTGTTGTCTAAATTTATATCTTGCTTAAAATTATGCTGGCTCTATCCATGCTAAAATGACTGTTTATGTAAACGGAGGCTGATGGTGATTGTGATTTTGGGGGCTGTTTCTGGTTAAACAAAATTATCTTACTCTGAAACTAAAAGGTCTATCTGTGTAGGGATGCTTTCCATAATGTTGTCAGACACTTCCAACAACAATCTGAGCCTGTCAGTGGCAAAAACAAGCACCTTTACTGGACGTCCATTGACGGTGTACAAATGCCCCGAGTGGTTAAATTATAGCCTGTTTCTGCTGCAGCCTTCTTGCTCAGTACTGAACCACTTTCAAAAAAAAATGTTGCTCCCATTAGTCTGAGACAGAAACAAGGGAAAATAGGCTCCAGGCTGACAAATATTGAAGTTAACCTTTAAAAATGAGGCTGAATGAATGAGTGATACAGAGATTAAAATGCATTTAACTGTCTCCTTGTCCTTCTCTGCCTGCCTCCAGTCTGATCCACAGCATTGCCACGCGGGTAATAAAGCTGGCCCACGCCAAATCCAGCATCGCCTTGGCCCCTGCACTGGTAGAAACGTACAGCAGACTGCTGGTCTACATGGAGATCGAGTCGCTGGGCATCAAAGGATTCATCAGTGAGTTATAGAAACATTTAAATTCAGCACCATGTTGAAAAGTTCAGATGCAAAGAGTGTGCTCTGCATACCTCACTTCAGTATGGCATCATTATGTTCCCTGAAGACAAACTGTTTAGAGTCACAGGACAGAATATGTAGGAGTGTTTCAACTCCTCCAGCATGTCCCCGTCTGTATTCAGCTGTCACTGCTCGTCCACTGGACAGCAGTTTGATCAGACTGGCTCTGAACATCCGTGTCTGACACTCGTCTCCTGGGGCGGCAGACACACGGTGAATAATGTGACACACTCTGTCTGTTCAGGCCAGTTGCTGCCGAACGTGTTCAAGTCTCACGCGTGGGGAATCCTTCACACCTTGCTGGAGATGTTCAGCTACAGGATGCATCACATCCAGCCACACTACAGAGTCCAGCTCCTGAGTCATCTGCACAGTCTGGCTGCTGTGCCGCAGACCAACCAGAACCAGCTGCATCTCTGGTAATGTGGGCTCAACATAATTCTCTACAAGATCACTAATACTGTCTCTGCTATCGCTGCTAGGCATGTGATGATATGAACATATCATGTTGCGCATATTGTGGACAAAGTAATTGTGATTCAGGATATTATTAATGAAAATATGCTTAAATCTCTCAAAATGGCACCAAAAACGTCATTAAGAAACACTTGGAAAATGATGATGATGATCTCTGTGTCTCTGTCCTCAGTGTTGAGAGCACGGCTCTGCGGTTGATCACGGCCTTGGGGAGTTCAGAGGTGCAGCCTCAGTTCACTCGCTTCCTCAACGACCCAAAGACGGTTCTGTCAGCTGAGTCTGAAGAGCTGAACCGAGCCTTGATCCTCACTCTGGCCAGAGCCACGCACGTCACAGGTAACACTCCCTCTGCTTTTACTCCTTTTAATTCTTCTTTTCTTCGGGTCTGTTTCCCACATCCTCCTAATTATATTACTTAAGTTTCTGCTTTGTGTGTCTGTCTGTGTGTGTAGATTTTTTCACAGGGTCTGACTCCATCCACGGGACATGGTGTAAAGACATCCTCCAGACCATCATGAACTTCACGCCTCATAACTGGGCCTCACACACACTGTCCTGCTTCCCTGCTCCACTACAGGTGCACTAGCAATGAATGACACTGACAAATTATCTCAAGTCTTGAGTCAAGTCATTATTGCAGTTGTAATGACCTCCACCTTCTTTCTCTCTCCTCCTCTCAGGCATTCTTCAAACAGAACAATGTTCCTCAGGAGTCTCGATTCAACCTGAAGAAGAACGTGGAAGAGGAGTACAGGAAGTGGAAGTCCATGGCCAACGAGAATGACATCATCACCCACTTCTCCATGCAGGGCTCACCCCCGCTGTTCCTCTGTCTGCTGTGGAAGATGCTGCTGGAGACGGACCACATCAACCAGATAGGCTTCAGGTTTGGTGCCATTTTATGTCTCTACAGATGCACTTTTACAGAATCCACACCACTGTATGAAAATTGACAGTTATCATACCGTACACATTCGTTTATCTACAGTAGTGAAAAAACAGTTGAACCAGTCAGGAAATCTCCTTTTCTTCATGACTGCCTATCAATCTCATCAACTTGTCCCACACACACACACACACACACACACACTCATGTAGTGGAGAAAATGTCAGAGAGAAGCAGGGCTCATGTCACCAGTCTCCATCCCCTGCTGAAAAACAATTTAAAATCAGCAGCGTGGGATTACTTTGGATAGCCAAAAAACGAATAGGGCTTGTCCTCGAGGACGGATATCCAGTTTGCAAAGTATATGTCTCACACAAGTCTGATCCCTTAGGAAAAAAATATGGGAACGTTCATAAAATCCAAGGACAGAGGGATGCTGTATGCTCTAAAGCCCTCTCAGACAAATTGTTTTTTTGGGATATTGGGCTTTATCACTAAAATTGAATTGAAATCCTGCCTTGTGTTCTCACGGCAGCATTTACAAGCGGACCAGATAAAATGCTTGTGTGAGAAAGCAGCTCTTGATTGGTCAGAATTTCCATGTGGGAAAAATCCAGGAAGTAAACAAAACGTTGAAGAAGAGTACACTTGCAAGATAAATGTGACACTTTATAATGTCCAGGTCGGAACACGTTCTCACCACAAACGAATCGCACCACAGTTCGTTTGTAACCGGGCTGAGACCACCTCTTCAACAAGGTCTCGGCCCGGTTGTTTGGTGCACCTGAGTGTGATTGCTGTGTTCACACCTGCCCAAATGACCAGCACTTAGGGGGCAAACGAACAGACAGTTACCATATTGTGAAAATCTCACACTGTCACAGCCCTGTTTTCACACAAACATCCAGTAACAGACACACGAAAATTAAAACTTTTCCATGTTTAATTTTGGAGCACCAGATGAAGTAATTAGAGTTGATTCTGATCAGCAGAAAAAAATATATTAAAATGTCAAATTAAAAACAAATCTCAGTGAATTGACTTAAATTAATTATAGCACGTTCCCATCATTACCACATTCTTCCACGTTACAGCGTCTGTGACACCACAGAGCGTGTTTTGATGAAGCATGTGGTAATGATGCGTCTCACCACTGATGTTCTGGCATTTTTAATGTACACTAATTGGTCCCAAGTCTCTAAACAACATCTGTGACTAATTAATCCAGTGGGAGTACACAGTGTTGTTTTGGGATGATGTTCTAACTGCAGCCTGATTTTGTGTCCCGCAGGGTCCTGGAGCGTATTGGTGCTCGTGCACTGGTGGCTCACGTGCGAACATTCGCAGACTTCCTCGTCTACGAGTTCTCAACATCAGCCGGCGGACAGCAGCTCAACAAATGCATTGAAATACTGAACGACATGGTGTGGAAGTACAACATCGTCACCCTGGACAGACTCATTCTGTGTCTGGTGAGGAGACACCTGCATACAGACAAATATAATATACTATAAAACAAGGTCTGTGTGTCTCACCTTTCTTCTTCTCTTCGTCCAGGCGATGCGCAGCCACGAGGGCAATGAGGCTCAGGTGTGTTACTTCATCATCCAGCTGCTGCTGCTGAAGCCCAACGACTTCAGGAACAGGGTCAAAGATTTTGTCAAGGAGAACGCTCCGGAGCACTGGCTGCAGAGCGACTGGCACAACAAGCACATGAGCTACCACAAGGTACAAAGAAAAAACACCTCAGTATAAAGTTCCTCTTGATAAGCAGCGGTGCAGTGTGTATGTCTAGGACCTTTTATCGTGAAAGTTCTTTTGCAGGCCTTGGTTCAGACAACAGAGCCTCCATGTTAATATTTTTTTACCATCAGAAGTATTGGTGCAGCTCAGTCCTCAGCTATACATTAGCCTGACAGGAGCCAACAGCAGACCGGCGGCAAGTGATATTTTAGCAAGTCAGCTGGTGTCTCATACCATAAACAGTGTTGCAAAGCTAGGATCCCTCAAGATGATCAGCTCATGGCTCCATTTAGATACGCATAAAAACATATCTGTAGTGTGTGTCTGTGAAACTCCCGACACTGACAGGAGAGGAGCAGCAGAGCAGAGTGCCCCTGAATAACACCAAAACATAGCATTTTATGACATGACTATTTTGGTACAAACATTTACCCACCAGTGTGGCGGGTAGCCCGCTGAGATTTACTTGCAGATGGAAAATCTACCTGCATTTCGTGCTTGACAGGTGTTATTTTGGACTCTGCTGAGGGGCTTACGTAACTGTAAGAGGGTTTGAATTTTTATGACTCACCCATTTGAACTTTATTCAGGCTTAAAGTTATGAATAATTAAGGGTGTTGCCACTTTGAGTGACTGGTCGCTACCATGGTAACATGGAGGTCCGCGCGGACTAAAAGCAAATGTCCGCAAGCCCTGTGCGCACAAAGCTCAGATTTTACGACCGCACGGACTCCGCTCCGCGCACCAGTGTACACAAAAGACTACTTGGTATGTATTTTTCACATCGCCATGACAGAAACGTGCAAGAATTGGGGGTAATGTAGTGTTTCACGGACATTTTTACAGGAAACTACAACGCACTCGACTATGCGGACATTCCTCGCGGAGTCCGCTACGCTTATAGTGCGCCCGAGTCTGTGAGCACCTTAAATTAAAACCCTTGGCGCACACTGCAGCACAATCAAACAGATGCACAACTCAGAGCATCAGAAGTGTCTCTTGTGTTAGTGTTGCGTTTAAGGCCTCCCCCCCAACAAACGGGAAAAAAAAGCGCTGAAGCGTCAATTTTTTTTTTTTAACAATCGAATCCCGTGCCATCGAGCGAAGCTTCGAATTTTTTGGGTCAGCCCTAAATATAACAGGGCTAATGTGACAGCAATGACCTCTCCACTCTAAGTTTGTAGCAGAGAATAGCAGAGTGAGTCTGCAGTGAACAATAATTAAAACTTTTTACTTCAATGAAACCGATATTCTTGAAGAAGTGCACATGTTCAAAAGCTTCTGAAACTGACACACATATTTGACCACACTAATAGACTGTAAATGCATCATGCTAACCAAGCTAGCAGCTAGTGTTGGGGTTATCTCCACCTTCTTGTCCAAATATTGACACTTTTGGCTCCAAAAATCCAAGATATAAAGGTCAGAACCCCAAACTCAAGGCTTCAGAACAGGAGTCCACAAACCAGTGGTTGACGTCACGGTGTCTTTGTTCCTTATTTTTATACAACTTGTGGTCTGCAGTCGTAAGTGTTTGTTGTTCTCCAGAAATACCCAGAGAAGCTGTACTTTGAGGGACTCGCGGACCAAGTCAACCCTCCCATGCAGCTCCAGCCTCAGTACCTGCCCATCTACTTTGGCAAAGTTTGCCTGCGCTTCCTGCCCGTCTTTGACATCGTCATCCACCGCTTCCTGGAGCTACTTCCTGTCTCCAAGTCTCTGGAAACACTGCTGGACCATCTGGGGGGGCTGTACAAGTTCCACGGTGAGTAAGGGTGTCTTAAAACTATGAGGACCGTGTGGATGAAAGAAAAACAGTGATAAATCACATGTGAATGAGATGTGTCGACGGTGGTTTGTGCACACTGATGTGTATTTCCTGCTGTGTTTGTGTGCAGACCGCCCAGTCACCTACCTGTACAACACACTCCACTACTACGAGCGACACCTGAGAGACAGAACCAACCTGAAGAGAAAACTGGTGCACGCCATCATGTCTTCACTGAAGGTAGGCAGAGGGACATCAAAGACAACTTATTGTTTATTAAAACCGTTCATCTGCAGTCGTCCTTTGTTGGTCTCAAGATTTATACGTGTCATTACGAGTCTTATTTCTTTTTATAGGCACCAGTTATATTTAAGGTATATTGTTTTATAGGACAATCGCACCCCAGGTTGGTGCCTGAGTGAAACCTACCTGAAGTTCGGCATGAACCCCCGAGAGGACAACCCGTGGATCCCTGATGACACCTACTACTGCAAGCTGATTGGACGCCTGGTGGACAATATCCTTCATTAGCCTCCGTCTGTGTGTAGATGGATCTGTCACTGCTGTCTCCAATCAACCCTGAGTCTGGCTAATGAAAAGTCCCAGGCCTCTGGGGCTCCTCAATAATATATTTACCTCAGCGACAGTACTTCTAGTGTCCCTCAACACCTCTTAGCTTTAAAAACAGATAGAAAGTACTTTTCAAAATGTAGTTAACTTAATCTCTGGTCATTTTATTGCAGCCAGTGAAGCTGTTACACAGAGTGCCTTCTGTATTTATGCCCCTGAGGTGTGGAACTCACTGCCTCTGGATATTAGAAGCCCTTTTGGTATTTCTAAAAGGACGTCAAAGACTAATTTCTTTTTAGAACGTTGCAGAACGGCACATTGCAAGTAGTTGCCTGTTTGACCTCGTTTGGGCTGCCTGTTTGTATGAACGGTGCTGTATACATTGAGTTCAGGTGGAGAAGACAACAGGATAACAGCGGCTGTTAGATTGTTATGAGCGTGTAATAAAACAGGGACACATCACACATTCATGCCCCTGTTGAATCTTGTTTCCTCCAGTCATCGTTAGCCTCCTTAACTCCTTCTCACCCATGGCTGGAAAGTCACCTGGTCCCTTCCCCAACTGTGACTGGAGGTTCAATGAGTTCCCCAACCCTGCGGCCCACGCCCTGCACGTCACCTGCGTGGAGCTGATGGCTTTGGCCGTGCCAGGAAAAGATGTCGGCAACGCTCTGCTCAACGTTGTGTTGAAAAGGTACGATAGGCTTTATGTTGACTTTATGTGTTACTGCAGTATGTTCTGTATGAAGAGTCTGATAAGAATTATTGATTATGTTTTAGCCAACCTCTGGTTCCCAGAGAGAACATCACAGCTTGGATGAACGCCATTGGACTTGTGATAACCGCACTTCCTGTAAGAACACTCACAAAATATCGCAATTGTTTATGATTTGATGAATTCACTTAAAGTTTATTCTCCATGACCACCTCCATCTCCTCTCCTCCAGGAGCCCTACTGGATCGTCCTCCACGACCGCATTGTGTCTGTGATCAGCTCACCAGCGCTGACGTCAGAGACAGAGTGGGCGGGGTATCCCTTCGCCTTGCTGGACTTCACAGCCTGCCACCAGAGCTACAGCGAAATGAACTGCAGTTACGTGCTGGCATTAGCGCACGCTGTGTGGCATCACTCATCCATTGGACAGCTGTCTCTGATCCCTAAGTAAGGAAGTCTTCCTCACTCTGTCTTTATACTCTCCCTTCACATTATCATGTCCTTTTTTGTGCCCTCTAGGCCACGTTTAATTAATGGTTGTCATAATAATTTGTGTCTGTAGGTTCCTGTCAGAGACTCTGAAGCCTGTCGTCCAGACAGAGTTCCAGTTGCTGTACGTGTATCATCTGGTGGGGCCGTTCCTGCAGCGCTTCCAGCAAGAGAGGACACGATGCATGTTAGAGGTACACAAACGTTTGACCATAGATTCCAAGTGTAATAATTATAATTAAAACACATAAAACAATGAACACTAATGTTCCCTTTAAAGGGCCAGTGTGTAATATTTGGCCTGGTCTATTGTCAAATCTGAATCAGAATATTCTACCCATTAATATGTTTATATAAGTGTATAATCGCTATAAAATAAAATTCGTTTGGTTTTCGTAGCCTTATAATTATGCTTTTATTTATATACATATATATATATATATATATATAGAGCAAGGGCCTTGCTTTAGAGAGGTCGCCATCTTGCACCGCCATGTATGTAAGGCAGCCCGAGCGGACAATCCAGCCAGCCAGAGAACGCGTTTCGCGTGTATAAATGAACCAACGTAGACAGCGGAAGGAAGGAAGAAGGAGGAGGAAACAGCAGAGAGTGTTAGTAGTTTGTCGATAGACAGTAGTGAAAAGTTTTTTTAGTTATAAAGTTTGCGAATGGACCACACTTACCACGCAACAGGAGAGAATGAACCCGAACCGTCATCTGCGAGGAAAAGAAGACGCAACTTCTCTCCTTGTGATACACTCTCTGCGGCGCTTTTCCTCCTGGTGATATATCTCCCCAATGATTGTAGCAGTAGCATCGAATCCCATTCTGTGCATTCAGCCTCTCTTCTCACCCGCTCAGCATCAAACACATGGAGTTCCTCATCTGTATGCTCCGGCTCAAACAGGTATGGCTCTGGGTCTGTGTCCGCTACAAGAAACTCTTCAAAATCGCGTTCAAAGTCGTCCATTGCAGCTACTATAGTCCGGAAATATTGCTAGGCTAAATAAACAGCTGAGCTCTGTTTACCGGCTACGCTGTCAG